ATAAAAATGTATCAATGGAGTTTGTTTGAAAAAAAAAAGAGAATTAAATTAAAGTACTGAGTTTAATAAAATTTTTATGTCACCATGCACGACACTCCACTTAATTTTCCTGAGTAGCATGCTTGATATAATTACCAGTGAAAAACAAATATGCAGAAAATATTGCGGGTAATTTATTTTCCTGCCTCTTCTGTATAATGACCCTGTATTGGATTATGCAGCTTTTACTGTCCATGTTTCATGATTTATTATTGGTGAAATTTTATGGCACACCGTGGCTATAGTGTTACAGGTTAAATTTGAGTTCAGTTGAAACATTTGATTCTCAATTTCCTTTGTCTTTTAGGGCTAGGATTCAAAGGAAATTTAGAATCAATCTACGTTTACTTTCCCATAAAAAAGTGACATCTTCACACGTGAAAAATAACATGTTATCTCCACATGTGGAAAGATCAATTTTGCTATGCCTACATAATAAATTGCACTTTTCTGGTGTTGAAAAACTGTGAATGAGTGAAATATTTTGTCAACACTTGAAGGTAAATTTTGTATCTCCATGTGGCCATGTAATATCCTTTCTATCTGTAATAACAACTGTGAAAGAATTTTTTATGCACAACAATCAGCATCAAAAAAATAAATGCATTTGTAGTGTACTAAATTAGCAAAAAATAAGAAGCTACACCATGTATAATACCAAGCACTGACTCATTGGTCCCTCAGAGGAAGAAAGGATAAAATATACTTCTATTTTTTTCTGACAAATACTTTTTGTATTAACAGCGGAGACGTACCCCAGTATGGACCAAAATAATGAAGATAAACAGCTTTTTTGGCACTGAAGATTTCTATATACCTATGGTTGTCTTTATTCTTTGGTAGGTTATATGGGAAGATTAACACTGTCTTGCATTAGACATTTTAATAGAATCAAACTTCAATGACATTGGAGTTGACCTCCGGAATTTAAGGCAAGATGTAGTGATCATGACTTTTACAAGTATCAGACTCCAGATTTCTACATGAAATTATGCCTCAGCATTATTATTATCTTGCACATTGATAAATGGTGACACAAAGTTCTGTCCACTCTCATAAACTAAATGCAAAGAAGATCATTGCAGTTAAAGACACAATTTCTGCTTTGGGAGCTGCATCTGTAACTTCCATGATCTTCTCTGGATTTATTTCTTCGTCCTGCAGTTCCAATGCTACAATGTGTAGGATTTTCAAATAATACACAAATATTCTCACCTTTCCTTAGCCTCTTCATACATTGTATATAACTACCCCTTCTAATTATGAGCTCCACAAAAAAGGTCACTGAAAGATATAAGCCCTGGCCCTTTGTAGCAAAATTTCTGCATCTCAAAAACCATGTTCCTGCAAATGTGGCAGAAAAAAAATTGACCTTGACCCACATCCATCAAAGCACCATGGGTAAGAAAATATGGTAATCTATGTTTCCAAGAAATTTTGGTTCTGAGAAAATCATCCGTACGGAGTACATCCATACGTATGTCCACCCCTTCATGTTAGTGTCTGGGAAATGACACACTTTAATACTATCTGTGTAAAACTTGGTATTGGACATCCATGTTGTTATCAATTGAAAGCTGTCAAAAAAGGGTATCCGCTGACCAGTGTCACATGACTGCATTGCGGGCTCAGGTATACAACTCATGGAAGTGGTGTAATTTTTTAAAGTTATCCGCTGACCAGTTGTTTGTTTTTAATTGATCGCAGGCACAGGTCAGTTTTTTTAAAGGTAGAATTCAGTGTGCTCTCTTTTTACAGCATAGTATAATTAATTGAGGAAGACATTTCCTAAAGTATCCTTTGAGAGCTTCACTTTTGGCCTTGGCTAAATCTATATATTACTAATTCAATTATGTCTGAATCCATTTGCAGGATCATTGATGCCAAGCTTGGTAGATTGTTGTGCCTTTTGATGGGTGTGGGTTTCTATACTGCTGGGTTTATGAAGGTAATGAAAAATTAATAATAATAATGATTTTATAATCAGTCTTTTTTTCTCTTCCCAGATCAAAGTTGATGACAACTGAGCACCAAATTTGATACATTTAGCAAAATACATTGGGACTCAATCAGTTAGGATCGAGTGGATAAGTGCTGGTCTGCCTAGCAGGAGGTTGTGAGTTCAAACCCTTGCTGGACCAGTAGTCTGGTCATCCTACCTGATACAGGTTGGGGGGGGGGACCTTGCGTCCAATACATGGTACCAGTATTTTTTATTTTATAAAGAAAATACTGGTATTAGTCATGTAGTTTTAATAATATTGCTATTGTTTAATAATAATAATAGTAATAATTCTTTCTTTATTTATTTGATTTTTTTATTGTTATTTTTTTGCAGGATGTTTTGTGTCTTCCTCGACCACCAAATCCACCAATAGTTGCCTTAGAAAGTGCCGCACAGACTTGGTAAGAGTTTCAAAGTTTCAGAGTATCAAAAGAAATAAAATATTATTTATGGTCTTTTTTGATTTTTCTTCAAACTAGTGGGTAATTTGTACGAGTTTGAGTGGTGTCCAGATTGTAAATGTAAATTAACATTTAATTTACTATTTGTTTTTTCTCTCCTTTTACAGGGGACTTCCCAGTCACCATGCTGTCTTAGGAGTTCTTGTTCCTTGGTAATTATGATGTTTGACAATAATATTATAGCTCGAGCCTGAATGGGCTCTGAGTGAATAGCCCATAAGGCCGAATGGGCTATTGACTCAGAGGCCATGAGGCATGAGGCATTTTTGTTATCGTTTTAGTGAAATCCAACTAGTTGGTCAAAAACATCGAGACAAAACAATTTAAGCTAGCAAAACGCGATTCAGCCACTATTTTTTTGGTTTTCAAAGCCGGCGCTTTTCGCTTATTGTGGGCTATAACATAATTATAGCCTAGTAGTAGCTCAACCAATCAGAACGCAGCATTGATAATAAACCACTAGTTGGATTTTCCTAAATAACATTAGCTGCCTCAGGAGATTAAACATTTTTCACATTTATACACAAATCAGGTTTTCATCTTCACACATTAACAGTAACGAAGTTAATTAAAGAAGGAAGAAAACATAGCAGTAGAAAACTGATCATGTAAGGCTTGAGCTCACATCATTTGATTTATAATCCCTATCTGTATATGTTGAGGTTCAATTTAATCCTTGGTTTAGATTATATTTTCCTTTTTTGGGGGGGGGGGGGGTAGGGGTATGGTACATGCAATGTACCATAATGAGTCTGAAACAAAGGAAAATAACATTATTTTAATCCAAGGATAAAATTGAACCACAACATAAATGTATCTTCTACACCACCTGCAAGGGTAACTGCCAATTTTGGTTTTACTGCATACTGAATGTGATCAATTTAACTGCTGGTTTTAGTACAGTGTTTATTATTTTTTTCTTTTATGCAGGTATATCTGGTTTTATTCCTATATTCATTTCTCTATGCCACAGTGGGCATTTCCCGTGCTCTTTTTCCTTATTGTATACTGTAAGTACACTTTAAATTCAGGGTTTTCTAGGAAGGCTCAAGTATTGATATTGAAGCTGCTACTTTTACATTCCCCAACTTCGTAATTACAGCTGTGCCTTGCATTTCGTGTACATGTAATGCAAAAGGAAAAATTTGTCATTAGATCAAGAGACAGTCAGGTCGTTTTTCCACCAACACCTTCACTACTGTTGCATGAGAGTGTGGAATAAGAAACTGTGTTCACAACACCTAATGTATCTTAAGTATCCCTTTGATTCTCAAGCATATCTAAGAAGAACAATGTACTAGTTGATCAGAAGACACTTGAGTTTTATTTAAGGCACCTTTTCATTAGTTGCAAGACATTACGTGTATTTATGTTAATAAAAGCACTTCTCATAGTTACCATATAACTAAGGGAGCATTAAGGTGGTGGAGTGGTGGTGACCTGGGTTTGAATCTTGAAAGTGCTGTTATAAATGGGTTGAGTTCATTGTCACAAGTTCTTGCCTTTTCTCCAAGAGGTTATTGTACAGTTAGTCCAGGTTCGCTAATATGCTAAAACACCTATAATAAATTCCAAATTCCAATTCAACCAGGAGTGATAGAAGAATAGCCACAGTGTGGATGTGCTATGTCAAAATTATCTTCATTATCATCATCATCATCATCATCATCAACATCATCATCACTAGAACTTTATTATCATAACTGGTGGACCAGTTCTGACAAGTGTTTTTTTTTCCCTTTCTCCAGGGTCTATATCAGTTATGTTTAGTCGTCTGTACCTTGGAGTGCACAGTCCAGCAGATATTGTTGCTGGAGGGATCATTGGATGCGTCATTTTGGCTTCCTGGATCAAAATAGACACCATCTTGGACAGATTTATCAGCTTCGGAGATAATGGTATGTACAGACACTGTTTCCTTGTTACGCTTGCCATGTCTATATGCAGATACCAACAATTAGTTCTTTAAAGGGATTACTCTTGCTCTCTTGCTTACTTGGAGATTAGATTCGAAAAGAGGAGGCAATTAATTCTACATGAAACAGGATTTCATCACTAAACATTTTTTTCTTCTTACTTTATTGGTAGTTGAGTATTCTTCAGGATCATATTTTGGACAATGTGTTGCTGAATTGATTAGGTGTATATAAATAGACAATAATCAAGGTCCTCAATTAGAGAGAAATTACATCATTGCAAGAGAAAAAAATGTGATGAACATGGCACATCATTTCAATCATCACCTATCCCATACTGAAAGTTTTATTGTTTCTACCTTTAGTTATTCTTCAGGCCATTGTTTATTCCCTGTTGTTGCTGTTTCTTCATCCTCGCCCAGAGCCTCGGACAATGTCATTGGTTGAAACGGTAAGTCTGTGCAGTAGAGCTGGTTTTTTGTTTGTCTCATGTCTCACAATATGGTCACTTTGTTATTGATTGTGAAATTTCAACTGCACATTGCTTGTCTTCATCAGGCGATGCTCTTCATTTGCTGTGTTTAGGACTATCAGTAGCACGTACTGTGGTTGCTGGCTAGTGCCGGATCACCAGCAATGATCACCTTGTTACTAACAGTCCTGCACAGCAAGCCAATACCATTGCCTGGTCTTATCATACATCCTGTACACAAAACATGCGCATGCAAGCCCAAGGATTTCATGGTAACGATAGTTTCTGGTACCGTGTTGTTACCGTGTTTGAAAAACAACAGAAACAAAAAACCACTCCCTAGGCTATCAATGTACTGCTGTATTCATCCTTGCTGATCAAAATTCCTTGCATACAAGTTTTTCTTTCTACTTGGAACAATGAGGATTAAATTGGTTCAATAAATTCAACTAAAGTAACACATGAAAGTACAATTTTCAAATGGCTCTTTTGCCATCCTGTATCATTCCCAAAGTACATTGTGATGTAACCTACATTCATGTTAATAACTTTGGCAATCTTTGGAAATCTCCAGAAATAGACATCAACCATTAGTGTTACTGGTTCCACAAAAAAGAGAATTACAGTTTTTATCAAAACTTAAATGATGGAGACCATTGTTAAGACTGATGCGTTTAACAGTGCACAAATTTTTGCAGGAATTTTCACTGTACATGCCAAAATAAATAGGTTCCCATGATCTCTGCTCACAAAGCCAAAATGTTCTCCATGCAGATTGAAATCCTAGGGCTTGTGCATTACTGTTACGTGTGCATGTACATGTACGTTTGTGATTGTGAGTGTGCCAAACGTTTTATGCAAAACAGTAATTGTTTTGCATAAGACATTTTTTAACCCTTTAAGTCCCGAATTGTAAAAATTGTTAATTGTAAAATTCGTAATTTGTTTGTAAATTGTAAATTGTACAATTTGTAATTTGTTTACCCACAGAGCACTTAGGAGTTCATAACAACTCATCGAAACGTGTCATTGCGTTCCAGATCAAATTGAAATTTGGAAGGGTTGGTTTTTAAGGAGAGGGGAAAACTGGAATACCTGGAGAAAAGCCTCTTGCAGCAAGGGAGAGAACACACATAATGGCATCAACGCGAGGATTTGAACCTGGGCTGCTCTCAAGAGTGCGCCACCCTTGCTTCCCCAAGAGTGACCAACATCAAATTTCTCCTAACAATATCTATACATAATTAAAAGAAAGGTTTATGAGAATAAACAAATAATCACCTAAGGGTAAATGATCCCTTTTGAACCAATTCTCTCAACTAATCCTGTAAGGAAAATGGAGATCAGTTTGGAGAATTTGTATTTGGATATTGGGGCTTGTAGGGTTAAGTGACAGTGTTGTTTGTTCCAGGTTGCTATGACAGCTGTTACTGTGGGTTTTGTGATTGGACAAGCTACATCCACAAGACAGTCACCAATATACAAAGCAATCTTGGACTTTGACACAGGTGTGCAAAGTAAAGTTGTTTATATTTTTACTATGTTTTGTCGGTCTCAACAGCAATTAGTGGGGCCCCGTCCACACAGACAGTTTCAGCCCAGACATTCATGTTGATGGTACACATCGTTAATACCTTTTTATATCAATTATGCACCCATTGTAATCGTTAATAATATTTTAATCATGTAGATGATGTACCTTATTTCACCTTGATTGGGGTTTCTACTGTCCGTCTGATACTTGGTAAGTCATCAATAGTTAATATTATCTTACAGTAGATTCTACTAATTTATTTGGAGACTTACACTAAGTGATCATGACTAGTGGTCATCCCTATAAGGTGGACATGACTAGTAATGTTCAGCTTATAGTGAGTCAAGTGAAGGGAGAACCTAAGAAAAGGAACAAACTCTAGGTGTCTGTTTAAATTATGTGTCTGTCTTAGAGAGGTGTCCATTTAGAGAGAGACCAAAAAAGGTGTTGTCTTTAATTTGTCAATGATGGAAGGGTTACCGGTACAGTGTTCAATCTAGGCCACGTTTTTGCGTCATTTACGCAGAATATATTCTATTCTGACGCAAAATGAAATGATCGTGGGGTCATACTGACGCAAAAAAAAGCAACAAACAAAAAACCCCAAAATAAGTTTTCTCGTATATAAGTACTTCCAAAGCAGCAGGCAATAATAAAAGTAAATTTAAAAACAAATATGTGTGCTGCTTACTAGCCTTATATGAACGCGTGAAATCGCGAAATGACTGGTGTTTCAGACTACGTTTGTACGAGTACTTTTTGTGTCAGGCGTTCCAATTCCGAGAGAGACTGGACGCTACTACGACGTTCTGCAACGTTGCCGATCGATTCACACGATTCAGGAAAAGCTTGGAACTTGTGTTAGTTAAAGCTGATTAGAAAGTATGAAGTGTAAAAATGGTCAAACAGGCATTTTTTGGTTTCCTTTTATTCATAATTGGTCTTTTTCGGCTTTACAATTATTTGACTGTTTCCAGTTACTGCAATAAGCAAATCAAAACTGTGAAAAGCATAAAAACTATAATAGGGATAAAAAATTCGAAAACGCTGAAACTGACTTAAAATGCTAAAAAGTTGTAAAAATATACTGGTAGTGTATAGCATAATAGGGATATTGCCAGTTTTTCGAAGTTTATTATTATCATAATAATTTGACCCAGACCATTTTTGAAATGACCCAATTTAAAATGTCACGTGGGACATTTGACCCACTTTCCATAATTTCTAGATCGAACACTGCGGTACTAACTATAGCTATTGTTTAGAATTGGCTGAGATATCATTATGGATCATAGGAAATAATCCGATTGACTCACCCCATCAATCACTTATTATTATCGGAAAAATCTCTTTATAGAATTTCATCTGTTGTTCACCTTTCAAGCCAAAGGACATGTACTGCTGTAGTACAAACGCTTTTTTGTTTTTTGACTGTTTACCACTAAGCTCAGAAACTTTTCTCTACTTTTGGGTGATCAAATTTCTTTCTTCTTTAATAATGACATCATCTAAAGGACAACACCGTGGTTGTCATTAACCCTTAAGTCCCAATATCCACATACAAATTCTCCAAACTGGTCTTCATACATTTTTATTAAAGAATGAGTTAAGAGAATTTGGTAAAAGATAAAGGTATTTTCTCTTTGTTGATCATTTTATTAATTCTCATAACCTAATCTCTTAACAATGTATGGATAGTGTTAGGAGAATATTCATGTTGGACACCATTGGAACTTAAAGGGTTAAGAGACGGGAGCCAGGGATTTCCGCCGGCTACTGTGAATATGACCCCCGGCTACTTTCATAGGAAAGTAGAAGCAAAATAGAACCAAAAGAAATCCCTAGCTGTTTGATTCTCCACCTCGTTGTTGTATTTACCCTGCAACTTGAAATCTTAGTGACAGCCCTGAACACACAAGTTTTTGATATGTTTAATTGCCGCAAGATTTTTTTTCCCTCGCTATTTGAGTGAACATTTTCTATAATCAATTATCACTTCACTTAAAGTTTTTGATGGAGGATTAATTATAATCGATGATCGGCACACCACAATCTACAACTGTTTGGATATTTTTCCTTTAAGGATATGCCTTGGTACTTCTGACTAGACTGCTCTGCAAGATTGTCTTCAGAAGCTTGCTGAGTAACTTATTCCGCATCCTAGACATGGAGTGTTTTGATCGCAAGAAGGTTAAGTATGATCAGAGCATACGCCTTTACAGTCCTTCTTTCAAGCTTCCCCCTGTGTTTGACAAACAGGTATGAATAGACTTGTGAGACTACACCTGTATAAATGTGTTATGGTTCTGAAGATGGGAGATATTTTTCTCTTACCCCAAAAGCAAAATTTTTCTTTGCCAGAGTACCTCAATCATCTCTGTTAAAGTGTATTTTGTCGTTTTTATTTCTTAAATAATTGTGCAAAACATTTATCCAAAATTTAAACTCATCAAAAATTGTGCAAATCCTTTTCCTCATCTTCAGAACACTCAAATTTTCCTTAAAAAATATCTGCCCTATAGAGAGAAGTGTGATGTCACATTACCATTGTAGCACTATTTCTGGATGACAACAAAACCATCAACAATAGTGACGGCAAGGAGAATGGCGAAAAATAATATGATTATATTAACAAACAACAACTTTGCATGTGCATCACGCTATTTTGTCCATTTCGTTGCTGTCGTTGCACCACTGCGTCATGAAACTTCCTAATTTCACAGGCGAGCCCGCTTTATGGAGCGGGTGAACACAAAACAAAAATTGTTGGTTTCTTTCTCTAAACTTAGATAACAATAGATACGCTCCCAAAGAAAATTTTCCAAGATTTGCCAAATTAAATGAAATAGTACAAATAGACTTTTAAGTGACTTTATTGGTTTGTTGTTGTCCAAAAATTTTGCTACCATGGCAACATGACATAATGACTTCTCCTCTCTATTGCACAGTCAAATTGACAAGTATTATGTAGAGTACTTTGCAAGAATGTAGAATAATAATCAAGATGCATGTACAATGTAGCAACAAATACGAAGGATTGTCGTTGTTGACAACTACCCAATCATCTTCAGAATCTTCATTTGTTTTGCTGTACCTTTCTTTCAGTCAAAGATATGTAATACAAACTTTTTGAGTGTTTGACTGTGTACCACTCAATTCCACAAAAAAAACAACAACAACAACAATGACCACATTCAGAATTTAAAGCTAAACAAATCTACTAACATCAACAGCCTTTCTTTGACCCTTTACTCATTCCTAGTTTCTGGGACATTTCCTCAAAAGGGAGGAGCAATTATTTTTTGGATGGCCAAAATTCAAGAACTTTTTTGGGAGACACATTTTTTAAGTTCAGAATTGTTAATAATTAAGCTTATCTAAGGACCAAAATCAGTTGTGGGTTAATAATATAAATCATGTCATATATACTTTAATGTTCAGTGTCTTTTGTAAGTTTGGTATTTTGATGCATTGATGGCTAGTATTAATTGTAGCATCACCAGACAGAATCAACTGATGCTTTTCAAAGAACTAACAAGATACATGAACTTAGCAGAGAGCCAGTTGTTTAAACTAACTATAACTTGGCCTGCTGCTTATGACGCTCAGTGGGCCTTCAAAACTCTTTGTATTGTGTTCAATTCAGGTAGATAAATGGTTTTGTTATATAGCTGGAAATTTCTTCCCAGCAGCATTCACTCTCATTGGTACTTCGAGGTCACTTGACAGCTAACAATGAAACTGTTTCAAGCCAAAATCTCTGAGTGGGCAGTCAGAGGGTAACAGTGTACTGTTACCCGCAAATGTTGACTGATGACCACCGTTGAAGCAAGTTTAATGAATTTCCAGCTTCAAAATTTCCAACTATATAACAAATCACTTAAAGACTGGTGCCAAGGGAAACAGTTAATTTTCTTTCCCTTGAATTTCGATGTTTCCCTTGGCCTCCCCTCGGAAACATTGAGATTCTTGGGAGACAAAATTCGCAGTCTCCCCTTGAGACCAGTCATTGATTGTTCATTGTAGACTGGGCTGTAACCTTTTCATGATGCTGTGTTACAGCTAACAATGTTTAGAGGTGAGGATTAGCTAAATTAAACAGATCTTGGAATAACATACGTTTGATTTTATTTTTCCTTTTTTTCTTAAATTTTACCAGGGGAAGAAAAAAAGAAAACCCCAGCCTGATCCTGATGATGCCAGTGCAAAGTGGAACATGGACTACCTGGTCAATTATGGTACCTACATCTGTGTTGGTTGGATGGCAATCAGTGGGGTGCCACTTCTTTCTCATAGTATTGGGCTGGTATTGTAGCCCTGTGTAGTGCCAATGTTGGTAGTTAAACCTTATGCAGTATTGAGCTAATAGTTTCAGGCTATTATTGTTCCCATCATTTTTGGGGCTCCAGTCATTTCAGAAATCACTTTTCTGACCATGACATTTTTGTTCTATCAAAAACAAATATAATATATGTATATAAACAATGTTCCCAAATTTTGTCTTTTGACATGTCTCAGAATAGTAATTTTTCATTATTTTCTCAAAATGCTCATGCCCTGCATTTCATGTGCAAAACACGGGACTCTTTTTATGTCCCTGTTTGCGTGTCTTTTTACTATCATTATTCAATCTTACACGATTTGTTGTTTCTAAATTTAAGGAAATTTAAGGTCTGACGTTTTGTACCATTAAATCTGTGTTAAGGAATGACTAGTATTATGCAAAAGTTTTAGTGAAAAGGTTGCTCGAGGGAAGCAAAAGAAAAGGCGTAGACTTGAATTTAATTTCACGAACGAATTAAAAGTTTTTTAAAAAAGAACTCTTTAATGTGAGAGTGATGGTTTTGAAATGTTCAAAACAGTTTTCTTGACATTCTTTTGACCCAGTTTCATTTATATAATTTAACAAAAAAATTACCATATTATTATTTAGTGTTGAAACTTTTTTTCAAATTATAGATACATGGTTGCAACTTAAAATGAATAAAATATCAGAAATTTAGAAGAAAATGCAAAAGGATTAAATTCTTCATAGGAGTGTCTTTGGAAGTTAGTTTTAAACTTTAATTCAGGGTTGCAAACTATTGTTTTGATTCTTCAAATCCCGAGAGTAACTAACATCAATTTTTTTTAACAATATACATAAATATCAAGAGAAAAGGTTATGAAAATTGATAAAACGATTGCAAAAGGGAAATACTTTGATCTTTTAACAAATCTTCTCAACTAATTCCTTAACGAAATGTATATGGAGGTGGGCTCAAATAGTTAAACATCGGGACCAAGTTGTTAAAAGCTGGGTTACGATAACCCAGGGTTAGTGCAAAATTTTGAATTCAGATATGAAAGTGGAAAAAGCAGATTCAGATGAGTTCTTTTTGTCTACAATTTGATGATAGGATACTCTAAAAAGAATAGAGAAAATTACCTGAGAAAAGGCTTTTGAATAAAAGAAAAAGAAACCCGGGTTAAAATTTAACCCCGGATTAGCGGTAATCGGCCTTCGAACAACTGGGCCCAGTATGTTAATCCAGTTTGCATACATTGGTGAAGTGTAGATGTGAGAAAGAGTGCGTGCAGCAATTCTGTAATTTTAGACTTGCATACCAAAGCATGTGAAGAATTTATGCGGTAAAAACATGACTGAAATGAATGGGCTTGAGATTGATATTATTTAAAATAAATATTTTTTCCCGTCACCATCACAAAATCTTAGTTTGATGTGAAATGAGAGTGGAAAAAAAATTGAAATCTATGACAGTAATTATTGTATACCTAATCTTTAAAAAAACAATGTTATGTAAGCGGAATGATTATGATTAATTTATACTAATTATTATAATATTGAAATGTTTAATAATTCACTGGCACAGATCTCTTGTGGCTGGATTGCATAAGCCGGGCTGGCTTGCTTTACTGGGCAGGTGTCTTTTATCCCAGTATTACATGAAAAGACCCCGGTAGGAGAGCCTTTCTTTCACTTCCTCGATTTTAGCGTACTTGAGAAAGACTCTGTGTGAATCAATTTAGATCTTTGTTGAGCGTGTGCTGCTTCTTGCAGTGATACAGTCTCGTACCCACACCCAATAGCCCTACGCTTCGTACAAAGGGCTCAGTTATCCCCATCCCTTTATCAGTAAACAGATGTTCACACACGAAAAACCAGTTTGACAATAGAGAACAAGATTGACTAGTTCGGGTTTCAACCACCTCAGGGGCGTGGCACAATGCTGGCAGAGCCTCCTCTCCTCCCTATTCAAGAAGACAAAAGGAGGCTCTGTGGATCAATTTAGGTTTCTGGGAATCTGCCCCCCTACCCTTCCCCTAAGCCAACATTATCACTTACTTCTCACTTAGGGCAAAATGTTGGCTTAGGGGAGGGGTAGGCGGGCAGTTTCTCAGAAAGCTAAATTGATCCGGCTCTGCTTGCAGGCCGACATGAATCGGGCTAGCCTTGAGCTGCCTTGGTTTTAGAGAGATTGGAAGCAGTGCGCATGAGCACTAATTTTCCCACCGCTATCCTTGGTTCGCCATGTTTGCCAGGCTCATCCGGTGAGGGTGATAACATGGACAATTTCCACCTCCAAGCATCACAATATCGGATCCCAGCCTACTGGGTTGCCTCAGTTGTCTTGTAATCACCAAGTCAAGTTTTGTTGCATTTAACTCAAGTGCCCAGCAGATCTCCGCTTGCAAACTGGGCCAGCCCGGCTTACGGCATCAGGCCGTTTGTAGTATAAGAGGTTTTAAAATTTCAATTTGTTGTTGCATTTGCCTTGTCTAAGCAAGGGTTGAAGTAGGATTTGTTGGTTACATTGTATTGACTAGAATTGCCAGTTAGATATATTTAAGGTTGCAACTCGAGATTTGATGCAGAGTCGGGGCTCATCCTCATTGTAAGACCCTGTAAAACTCACTTTTGACGTAAAGCAAAGGAAACAAAGAACTCAACACAATAAAACCTAGGAAAACAAAAGGTGCAAGACAAAGAAAAGGTTCACAGGTTCTTACACCAAGGTAAACCCAGAGTCGGCCATAGTGTTAAATTAGGCAAGTCTTCAAGGTATTATCAAAATTAATTATGAATTGTTGAGTAAGTGAACAAGAAAATTAAGTGTAATATTAATATTATTTGTTCATAAGTTCCATGCGTTGTTTATAGCTATCCAAATTTCAAAATAACGCGTTAAAAGAAATTCGCCATCGTTTGTCGTGAATCCTTTTGCAGGAGTTTTTCGTTTGGTGGATAGGCGACTTTTTTGTCCCTTGTTTAAGGTCACTTAGTTAAAAATGCTTCTCTGATATAAAACGCAAAAATTCCCTCATTTCTGTGACTTTTTCAGTGTGAAACTGTCATGGCAGACAAAGGCATGCCTCTGACACCTTCAGATGTGTTTTGTTTGTTTTTTGAATATAGATTTTGTTATTCAATGTTATATTATCATCGCCTGACATGATCTATATATTTGTTCGTGATAGTTTAAATTTACCACAGTAAGACTTCAATGTCTTTAGTAATTTGTTATAAAAGCAAGCTTAGTGTTATTTAACTTTTTATTCTAAGACCAGGGGTTCAACAGTGTCATTTATTTCTATTACAGTAGTACAGGTAAAGCCCCGTGCAAACGGACGCAACATTGTTGTATGTGACATGTTGCATCCGTTTTGCATTCCCTGTTGCATGTTGTTGGGAGTTTTTGCGCAAAGTTTGAAACCGGTTAAACTTTTAGCTACGAGCAAACAGACGCAACAACTCCCAACAGTGTTACGTAATGTTAGTCCCTTATGGTTGTTGCAGGGGAGCGGGCATGTTACTAGCCTACGCGTAGCCACACCCTCTCCCTGACAAAGGAAAAACTGAGAGAGGGAGCTCCCTCTCCGTTTTAACTTTGTCGGCGGGAGGGTGCGGCTACACTTAGGCTAGCATGTTACATGCGAAGCAGAAGACGGAAAGGGACGGAGGTACCAACCTTTTCCTCTTCCATCTCGGCTAGTTCGCTCTCTCGAGTCCAGCCCAGACTGAAAAGGGACTGGTAGCAGTCTATAATTATTCTAATATTGTTAGGGCATGTACTTTGATCGGAAAATTAAGTGGCCTTTTATGTTTAATTTAGGTAAATTATAATCGCGAAATATATGTATATTTGTCTGTCGATTCCAGTAATAAAGTATACAAAAGCCAATAAACTATCTCACAAATGAGACTTTACCGAGTCTGTAGTGATAGTTGCTTAAGTACAGAACATTTCTTCATGAACACCATGTAATATTCAGGTTGGGGTGCTGTGTCAAATAAGCTGGTCAATGTCTGTACACCTACCGCGATTCACTACACCAGCTTCTGCCAACTACGCCCCAGTTATGATGCAGTGCCACGACAAGATTGTTTCAGCAAACACCACCAACTGCAAGACAGAAACACTCTTCTTTATTTTGCCCAAAAAAACTTGTCAATTAAGATCGTAACATGCGTGGTTAATTAGTTTATGATTATCCGGGACAACTGCAACATTTGACTTTGCCTAACATTGTGGCGTCGTCGTTTAGAAATCGACCATTTTATGCTTAGTGCCCTAGTTTTAGATTGAATGCGAAGCTAGAGATGACCTACAGTCCTCCCTGTTTCTCTCGTGGAAGTTACAGCGGATGTAAAATAAATACTTCTACCTGGAGTTTTGAAACCGGGTACCCTGCTAGCAGAGTCGCTTCGATGTCTGAAATCTGAAGTCAAGTGCTTTTAGTGTAAGAATAAAAAAACTCCCTCTTGATGACTAACGACCCTCAGCCCTTGACGAATGGTTCCAAACAACTTCCTGGAATTGACAGAAATCAGTTGACAGAAAAAATGCTTGAGGGGGGACAACCGCGGACCGGCCTGATGCCACCGTGGAGCCAGCTAATTTTGTTTTTAGGAAGCTTCTGTCAAGGTGGGTATCAGTTTGCTGCACAGACTTAGGGCTATCAGCTGTATTTGGGGTAGCCTGTTAAATTCCAGGGGTGGGGGGTGGGGATGTTCTAAAGAACATGGTGTGTACTGGATTGTGGATTTGTTGACATTTCCAACGAGGCTTATCAGCGTTTTTCAAAGCTCAGTTTCCCCTTCAAATTAAAGGGATCCTGTGTCTAGCTGGGCGTCATCCTGTTGCACAGACACAGGGCTATCAGCTGGTATGCATTTGGGGTAGTCTGGTTAAATTCCAGGGGGGAAAGGATGTTTTAAAGTTCGATGTGTTACCGCAATGGGATGCAGCTTTTTGTGAAGTTTGTATGCAAGCAAAGGGGCACTCTGTTGGTAATGTTCCAAGTCAGCAAAAAGTTAAATTGGCAGTTGTTCAGGATTGTATTTGGGAGACCAGTGGCTATGAAAAATGGGGTGAATAGACCTTTTTACCGATACGGTGGCCATCTTGAATTAATTCGATTTAAGGAGTATTATAGGATGCCCAGGGGGCATGAGCACATTTCGTTTGTATTTTCGAGCGCTTTTGGGGACATTTTTTCTTAAAGTTTTGTTAGAATAATATTCTAATAGGAAAAAAGATCCTTGTGCCGTGTTTGGATGTAATAATGATCGCCTTTTTGCCGATTAACTCCAGTGGGAGATTACAAACAACAACAGGTATGGGGTAGAGGAAAGGGCCAGAAAGCAGGCCCTCCCATTTATTGAAAACAAAACTGCCCAAGCAGAACCAGTACACTACAGACTAAACAACAATAACGATCCATGAAGGGGGGGAGGGAGGGAAAGCCAGCTAAATCAAGCACATGTTAAGAGTTCTAACAGTTCTAAAGCGCAGACTCCGGTAAACTAGTACCCAGGCTTCCCTCCTCCCCAGAGTTAAATGTAAATAAAATGAATATTATTACTACTTAACTCCAGTGGGAGATTACAACAACAACAGGTATGGGGTAGAGGAAAGGGCCAGAAAGCAGGCCCTCCCATTTATTGAAAACAAAACTGCCCAAGGGAGGAACGACCTACCCCATACCAATAGAAAAGTATAAAAAATAAATAAGCAATCAAACAAATGAGGCTAGTTGGCGAATAGCATACATTCTATACTTTATGGGTATGTGAATATAAGACTTGAAGGCATCAGATCGCCAGTCTCCTAGTCTTTTAACAAACTCCTCAGGAATGTTAGCTTGAAAGGCTAGGGTAGCACCCCCTGAACGAAGGCTGTGACCACTGATGCCGGATGGGTCTAAACCTGCTGTAGAAGCCACTGATTTAAGAAGTCTGTCGAACTTGGCATATGTGAATGGTATTAGGCCCCTCCTTGAGTGCTGGCAAGACGAAGGCTGGGCCAGACAGGGTGGCCGGCACAAGCTTGAAGGCATGCTGTAGTGCAGAATAGGGACACAGTGGGTGACCTGGGATGAAAAGGTAGTGGAACAGTAAGGAGACGTTGACTCAACTGGATGGTTTTAGACCAGCGGTTGATGACAATGGCCCAGCCTGGGTAGAACACAATGTCACTTCGCCTAAGATGCTTTAAAGGTTGAACTTGGTAACACCCTTCAACAACATATTAGCTTTGCGAAGAAGTCCAAAGAAGCCTGTTAAGCAGACAGCCCAAAAGGTGGCATGGACTGGGTCTGTCAATTTCAAATGTGACTTGATAGCCAAAAGCATTGCAGGGGTCATGGGTTGTTTCTGTGAGACTATGCAGCCTTTGCAGCGACGTATACCATGCAAGGTTGTTGCTAAGTGGAAGTTATTCTTGGTAGGGTCTTCCAGGCCATGTTCCAAATGGAGAATACGGACAATGTTAAGATAAGCTGGAATAGAGGAGGCAGACAAAGAGCGTGCCAAGAAGGCTGCGTAACGGCTAAGTGTGATGATAGACGCTGGAACTGGCTGGTACCCATAATATACGCAAAAGGTAAGATAGGCTCGCAGTTGACTTTTGTAAGTGGCCTTGGTGGGAGTTGCATAGGCTTGTTTTCGAAACTTAAGAACCTCCATGTCCAGTCGTGACTGATCGTCTGGATCTGAGGAAAGCAAGCGACAAAGGTGACATGTGAGACAACAAGTCTTCAGTGGAGGAAGAGGACTTTGAGAGCCAGGCGTGAAGTGCGTGTCGGTGACATGTTTCATCAAGTCTAGAGATACTGTCGGCAATAACATTGGCTGAACCAGGGATGTGCTCAACAGTTAGTTGGATAGCATAGTACTCTGACGACCAGAAGAGCTCTCGGAGCCAATCCATCATGATAGGGCAGGGGGTGGTTCCTTTGTTTACAATTGCTGCAGCAACTTCACTATCTGTCTTGACTACAACCTTTTGTCCTGACCAGGATGGGGCCCACCGTTTGGTTGCCCGGAGAACCATGAAGGTTTCTTTGTAGTTGATATGCAGGGGACAGATATTTGGGAAATCTAGTGCCCAGTTAACGTATAGCCAGTCATTGTGCCAACAACAGCCACCACCTGCAGGGGAAGCATCAGTATAGGCTAGCGCAGATGTCATAGGTAGCTCGTCGGGGAATAGGGATCTGCAGTTGAAAACAGGAAGAAGGGATGCCCACCAATGGAGGTCTGCTCTTGCTTGGGTATTAAGGTAAACATGATGGTGATGATGTTTTGCAGAGTTCATTACAGTAATCAAGCGTCGCAAAAAGGTCCGGCCCTCTCGGACGACCCGAGCAGCCCAGCTTAGTTTTCCAACAAGGCGTTGAAGGTGATGTTTTTGGCACTTGCGCTTGGTTAAGGTTAAGTTCAAAATGTCTAACAGCTCAGAGACGCGGACCCTGGGGAGCCGTAGTACATGATTCAGTGTATCCATTTCGACTCCCAGAAAGCACAGGGATTGGCTTAGTTGAACAACCTTTGACCAGTTTATTGTGAAACCAAGTGACTGAAGCAAATCGAGGAGGGTGTCCACAGCGATTTAACACTGCTGCTGAGGGGTTCTATGATGAGGAAATCATCCAAATAGGCAAGCACTGTGAAACCTCGTCGGGCCATCATTCTACAAACTGATTGGGTAAGGAGGTAGAAAACCATAGGAGAATTTCGAGCACCAAAGGGAAGGCGTTTATAAAACAGGTAAGTGATGTCGGTAGTACCTTGAAAAAGCCAAGACATGCCAGTGACTTTCCAGCTGCTGGGGTGAGTACCAACACTTCGATAAGCATGTTTTAAATCAATCTTGGCCAACCAAAAACCTGGTTTGGCTTTGCATGCTGCCTCATCAACTGTAGTATATTTGTAGTGGTCAAGATCCATGTAGGAGTTTGCACTCAATGCAAGCGGTCGACTGCAATCCATAATCAGTCTCAACTCTGAAGAGTCCCTTTTGGGTACAGCTCCAATAGCATTAACAATGATGGGGGGTGTGTTTGATGATCCAAAATGGCCTAGTGAGAGGCCCTTACATAGTTGCTCTTCAATCTGCCCTTTGGCCCCTGGCCTGAGCGCCGATCTGTTGTTCTTTGTGAAAGCTGGTAAAACAGTAGTATCTCGCGGAATCAAAACAAACCCTTCTCGTACACCATTGAGAATAAAGTGTCTGTCCAAATCATTAGCTAATTCCTTTGCCCATATCTCATATTTTAAGTCTGTGGAAATACAGGCTGCATCGGACTGCCGCGGATAACATGAGGGCCCTGCTGATTGGTTGGAGTCAGTAACACACTCTGCTGTTTCTAAACTAACGTATGGGTATTTCCCTGCTATAGGTGATGCAGTCGAGCTATCCCCTGCAAGTGGCTCAACGAAAGAATTGGGAAATAGCTCTGCAGGCGAGTGTGTGTTCAGGCTTGGGGGTAGTGAGTGGCTGTGTGCTTCCATTGGGCGTGATCCCCCAAACACTGTGGCGTTATACAAACATGGTCATACTTGCAAGCTGTGCCATAGCTGCAGCCTTGTCGTCGTTGGAAGTCATAGCACACCTGACAACGGTGACAACGATGACAATAGTGACATGGGTGACAACGGTGACAACTGTGACATCAGTGACAACAGTAACGACGGTAAGAACAGTGGAAATGGTAACAATAGCTAAAACAGTGACAATGGTGACAAATGTGAGAATGGTGACAACGGTGAAAACGGTAACCATGGTGACAATGGTGACAACAGTGACCAGCGTGACAACCGTGACAAGGGTGACAACAGTAAAAACGGTGAGAACGGTGACAACAGTGACAACGGTGACAACTTTGAAAACAGTGAGGACGATGAGAACAGTGACAACGGTGTGACCAGTGACAACAGTGACAATGGTGAAAACAGTGACAACTGAGACAATAGTGACAACAGTGACAACGATTGGAACAGTGACAACAGTGTCAACAGTGACAACAGTGACAATGGTGACAACAGTGACAACCGTTACAATAGTGAAAACGGTGACAACAGTGACAACGGTCACAACGGAGACAACTGTCAAAACAGTGACAACGATGACAACAGTGACAACGGTGACAACGATGACAACGGTGACAAGGAGACAACTGTGACAACAGTGACAACAGTGACAACGGAGACAACTGTCACAACACTGACAACGATGACAATAGTGACAACGGTGACAACGATGAAAACAGTGACAACGGTGACAACTTGACAACTGTGACAACAGTAACACCATGACAACGGTGACAACGATGAGAACGGTGACAACAGTGACAATGATGACAATAGTGACAAGGGTGACAACGGTGACATCAGTGACAACAGTGACAACGGTGACAAAAGTGACAATGATGAGAACAGTGACTATACTGACAACAATGACAACAGTGACAACCGTGAAAACCGTGACAACGGTGACAACAGTGACAACTGTGACAATAGTGACAACAGGACAATGGTGACAACAGTGATGACGTTGACAACAGTGACAATGGTAACAATAGCTAAAACAGTGACCATGGTGACAAATGTGAGAATGGTGACAACGGTGAAAACGGTAACCATGGTGACAATGGTGACAACAGTGACAAGCGCGGCAACCGTGACAAGGGTGACAACAGGGAAAACGGTGAGAACGGTGACAACAGTGACAACGGTGACAACTTTGAAAACAGTGAGGACGATGAGAACAGAGACAACGGTGTGACCAGTGACAACAGTGACAATGGTGAAAACAGTGACAACTGAGACAATGGTGACAACGGTGACAACAGTGACAACAGTGACAACGGAGACAACTGTCACAACACTGACAACGATGAAAACAGTGACAACGGTGACAACTTGACAACTGTGACAACAGTAACAACCATGACAACGGTGACAACGATGAGAACGGTGACAACAGTGACAATGATGACAATAGTGACAAGGGTGACAACGGTGACATCAGTGACAACAGTGACAACGGTGACAACAGTGACAATGGTAACAATAGCTAAAACAGTGACAATGGTGACAAATAGGAGAATGGTGACAATGGTGACAACGGTGAGAAGGGTGACAACAGTGACAACGGTGAAAACGGTCAAAACAGTGACAACCGTGACAACCGTGACAACAGTGACAATGATGAGAACAGTGACAACGATGTCAACAGTGACAACGGTGACAACTGTGACAAGAAAGACAACGGTGACAACAGTGACAACCGTGACAACCGTGACAACCGTGACAACAGTGACAATGATGAGAACAGTGACAACGGTGTCAACAGTGACAACGGTGACAACTGTGACAAGAAGGACAACGGTGACAACAGTGACAACGTTGACAACGGTGACAACTGTGACAACAGTGGCAACCATGACAACGGTGACAACAGTCACAACAGTCACAACAGTCACAACAGTGACAACCGTGACAACGGTGACAACAATGAAAACGGTAAAACCGTGCTATACTGACAATGAGAACAGTGACAACGGTGTGAATAGTGACAACAGTGACATTGGTGAAAACAGTGACAACTGTGACAACGGTGACAACAGTGACAACAGTGACAACGGAGACAACTGTCACAACACTGACAACGAAGACAATAGTGACAACGGTGACAACGATGACAACAGTGACAACGGTGACAACTGTGATAACAGTGACAACCATGACAACGGTGACAACGATGACGACGGTGACAATGATGACAATAGTGTCAACGGTGACAACAATGAGAAGGTGGCAACTGTGACAACAGTGACAGCCATGACAACAGTGACAACAGTGACAACGGTGACAATAGTGACAATAATGACAATAGTGACAAGGGTGACAACGGTGACAACTGTGACATCAGTGACAAGAGTGACAACGGTGACAACAGTGACAATGGTAACAATAGCTAAACACATTGACAATGGTGACAAATAGGAGAATGGTGACAATGTTAAAAACGGTGACATCAGTGACAACCGTGAGAATGGTGACAACAGTGACAATGGTGACAACTTTGACAACGGTGACAACAGTGACAATAGTGACAACAGTGACAACTGTGACAATGGTGACAACGGTGACAACAGTGACAACGGTGACAATGCAGACAACTGTGAAAACACTGACACCGATGACAACAGTGACAACGGTCACAAGGTGACAACTGTGACACCAGTGACAACGATAAGAAAAGTTACAACGGTGACAAGGTTTACAACGGTGACAATGGTGACAACGGTGACAACAGTGACAACGGTGAGAACAGTGACAACAGTGACAATAGTAACAACAGCTTAAACAGTGAAAATTGTGACAAATGTGAGAATGGTGACAACGGTGACAACGGGGCTAACTGTGACAACAGTGACAAACGTGATAAGCGTGACAAGGGTGACAACAGTGGCAAAGGTGACAACAGTGACAACGGTGACAACTTTGAGAATAGTGAGAACGATGAGAACAGTGACAACAGTGACAATGGTGAGAACAGTGACAACTGTGACAATGGTGACAACGGTGACAACAGTGACAACGATGACAACGGTGACAATAGTGAAAACGATGACAACAATGACAACGGTGACAGCGGTGACAAGGATGACAATAGTGACAATGGTGACAACGGTCACAACAGTGACAACCGTGACAACGGTGACAAGAGTGAGAACAGTTAGAACGGTCACAACGGTCACAACAGTGACAACGGTGACAGCTGTGACAACAGTGACAACGATTAGAACAGTGACAACAGTGTCAACAGTGACAACAGTGACAATGGTGACAACAGTGACAACCGTTACAATAGTGAAAACGGTGACAACAGTGACAACGGTGACAACGGAGACAACTGTCAAAACAGTGACAACGATGACAACAGTGACAACGGTGACAACGATGACAACGGTGACCAGGAGACAACTGTGACAACAGTGACAACGACAACGATGACAACAGTGACAACAGTGACAACAATGACAACATTGACAGTTACAATGACAACAGTTACAACGGTGACAATGGTGACAATAGTGACAACGGTGACAACCGCCTATAGTGACAACGATGAGAACAGTGTCAACGGTGACAACTCTGACAATGGTGAAAACTGTCACAACACTGACAACGATGACAACAGTGACAACTGTGACAACGGTGACAACGATGACAACATTGACAACGGCGACAACAGTGGCAACCGTGAGAACGGTGACAACGATGAAAACGGTGACAACGGTGACAACAGTGGCAACCGTGACAACGGCGACAACGGTGACAACGGTGACAACAGTGACAACGGTGACAACTGTGACCACAGTGACAACTGTGACTACAGTGACAACTGTGACATCAGTGACAACAATGAGAACGGTGACAACGGTAAAACTGTCCTATAGTGACAACAATGACAACAGTGACAACCGTGACAACCGTGACAAGGGTGACAACGGTGAGAACAGTGACAACGTAACAATGGTGATAACAGTGACAACTGTGACAATGGTGACAACAGTGAAAATTGTGAAACCAGTGACAACAGTGACAATGGTAACAATAGCTAAAACAGTGACAATGGTGACAAATGTGAGAATGGTGACAACGGTGACAACGGTGACAACAGTGACAACTGTGACAACGGTAAGAAGCGTGACAACCGTGACAAGGGTGAAAACCGTGACAAGGGTGACAAGAGTTACCACGGTGACAACTTTGAAAACAGTGACAACGATGACAACATTGACAACGGTGTGAACAGTGACAACAGTGAGAATGGTGACAACAGTAAGAAATGTGCGACAATGGTGACAATGGTGACAATGGTGACAACAGTGACAACAGTGACAACCATGACAAGGGTGACAACAGTATCAACGGTGACAACGGTCACAACGGTGACAACGGTGACAACAGTGAAAACCTTCACAACGGTGAAAGCGATGACAACGGGGACAACGGTGAAAACGGTGACAACAATCAGAACGGTGACAACTGTGACAAAGGTGACAACAGTGACAAGCGTGACAAGCGTGAAAAGGGTGACAACCGTGACAATGATGACAATAGTGACAAGGGTGACAATGGTGACAACGGTGACAACTGTGACAAAGGTGACAACAGTAACAACGCTGACAACAATGACAAAGGTGACAACCTCCTTTAGTGACAACGATGAGAACAGTGAGAATTTTGACAACTGTGACAACGGTGACAACTGTCACAACACTGACAACGATGACAGCAGTGACAACGGTGACAACGGTGACAACGATGACAACAGTGACAACTGTGACAACGATGACAACGATGACAACATTGACAACGGCGACAACAGTGGCAACCGTGACAACGGTGACAACGATGACAACGGTGACAACGGTGACAACAGTGGCAACCGTGACAACGTTGACAACGGTGACAACAGTGACAATGGTGACAACTGTGACCACAGTGACAACTGTGACAACTGTGACTACAGTGACAACTGTGACAACAGTGACAACAATGAGAACGGTGACAACGGTAAAACTGTCCTATAGTGACAACAATGACAACAGTGACAACCGTGACAACCGTGACAAGGGTGACAACGGTGAGAACAGTGACAACGTAACAATGGTGACAACAGTGATAACTGTGACAATGGTGACAACAGTGAAAATTGTGAAACCAGTGACAACAGTGACAATGGTGAGAATAGCTAAAACAGTGACAATGGTGACAAATGTGAGAATGGTGACAACGGTGACAATAATGACAATAGTGACAACGGTAACAATGGTGACAACTGTGACAACCGTGACAAGGGTGACAAGAGTTACCACGGTGACAACTTTGAAAACAGTGACAACGATGACAACATTGACAACGGTGTGAACAGTGACAACAGTGAGAACAGTGACAACAGTAAGAAATGTGCGACAATGGTGACAATGGTGACAACGGTGACAACAGTGACAACAGTGACAACCATGACAAGGGTGACAACAGTATCAACGGTGACAACGGTGACAACGGTGACAACGGTGACAACAGTGACAACCGTCACAACGGTGAAAGCGATGACAACGGGGACAACGGTGAAAACGGTGACAACAATGAGAACAGTGACAACTGTGACAAAGGTGACAGCAGTGACAAGCGTGACAAGCGTGAAAAGGGTGACAGCAGTGACAATGATGACAATAGTGACAAGGGTGACAATGGTGACAACGGTGACAACAGTGACAAAGGTGACAACAGTAACAACGCTGACAACAATGACAAAGGTGACAACCTCCTTTAGTGACAACGATGAGAACAGTGAGAATTTTGACAACTGTGACAACGATGACAGCAGTGACAACTGTGACAACGGTGACAACGATGACAACATTTACAACGGTGACAATGGTGACAACGGTTACAACAGTGACAGCAGTCACAACGGTGATAACGAAGACAACGTGGACAACGGTGAAAACGGTGACAACAATGACAACGGTGACATCAGTGAGAATGGTGACAACTGTGACGAAAGTGACAACCGTGACAACGGTGACAAGATTGAGAACGGTGACACTGGTGACAAGAGTGAGAACGGTGACACTGGTGACAACAATTGCAGCAGTGACAACTGTGACAATGGTGACAAAAGTGACAACTGTGACAATAGTGACAACGGCGACAACAGTGACAACGGTAAGAATGGAGGCAAATGTCAAAACACTGACAACGATGACAACAGTGACAACGGTGACAAGGTGACAACTATGACAACAGTGACAACCATGACAACGGTGACAACAATGACAACAGTGACAACAGTGACAACAGTGACAACAATGACAACGTTGACACCAATGACAACAGTGACAAGGATAAGAACAGTTACAACAGTGACAAGGCTGACAACGGTGACAATGGTGACAACCCGTACGAAACGCGCAGCGCTGTTGCAGCGCTGCAGAATGGCTTCAAGAAGCGCTGCAGTATAGCTGCAAAGAGGCTGGCTGCAGCAGTCGCAAATTTTGGCTGTTCGGGGCAGCGCTATGAAGCCGTTTGAAAGCGATAAGCAGCGGTTTAGCAGCAGTGGAAAGGACACACAAAAACGCTGCCAGCGCTGCCAAATAGCTGCAAACGTGTACAAAAATTCAAAGAATTATGGCATTTGCCTAAACCGGCTTAGTAGCAGAGTAAAAAACACTAGAAAGTCAAAATGCATCTTATACTTTATTAGTATCCACGCGTACACGTTACAAAAGCACGTGACATAGAACAAATCTGCAACAGTCTCGCTTTGTAAATATTTAGCAATCACGGTCACTCATCTGAATGTAAGAACAGCCATTAACATGCAGACATTGATAATTATCTTTTTTAAAAAATAAAGAGAATAACATCGATTGTTCTACATAAAGTTTACATGCACAGCCATTGGGCAAATGATATTTTGATTCGTTGCAACGGGCTAAGCTGGACATTTCTCACCTTGACGTTTCGTCCATGATCCACGATCTTCTACACTTTGTGCATGAAAGAAATCAACCCAATTTTACTTTGGTCGTCGTTAAATTTTACAATAGACTAAGGAACGAACATTACCACGAGCGTATATGAATCTTGTAAGTGCGAACCCCAGCTGAGATTCTTGTATCTGCGTTGCTTGCTCTGGTTCGATTCGTCGATACTTAGCGTAGAAGTCACTGTTCAGTGCGTTGTTTGCAAATACGTTTGAGCTGTTCCATCCAAAAACTTCAACAGAACTTCCATCTCGAAACAGAACTAGATGCAAAAAAACTTATAATGTTTGCGCCTTTCATTCAACGGTCGCAAATGTTCTGTGTTTGTCTAGTGATGTAATGGGATCTCATGCAAAAGGACCGACCAATTAGATTACGGCCTAGAATGTCTCCAGGGAATTAGCGATAACATTCCCACACTCGCCGGTCACGGAATGAAATTTATTGACATCTTTATTCCGAAAGCATAGGATTTGGAGGTTTATTCAATAAGTGATCTTCTTTGCGCACAAGCTTACTCACATTTCTTAGAGGTACAGTCAAAGTTTTCGCGTTATAAAAGCCGTAATCTGTGCCAAAGCTTTATCTGGCGATTCATGTTATTGACGCTCAAGAAAGTCAGATCGACCGCAGCTAAATTGTAGCGTTACTGCAGCTACTTCGCAGCGTTTGAAAGTTGGCAACTGCGCTGCAAAACCGCTGCCGAGAGCTTCAAAGAGCCTTCAAAGGCTGCACAGCGCTTTTGCATCCCGCTGCAACTTGAATGAAACTGCTGTTTGGCTTCTAAAAGGCTGCTGAACAGCTGTAATTTAGCTGTACAGCTATTTTGCAGCGATTTTGTGGCGCTGTACAGCGCTGCAAGTTTCGTACGGGAATAGTGACAATGGTGACAATGGTGACAAAAGTGACAACGGTGAAAAAAGTGACAACGGTGACAACAATGACAACGGTGATAACCTCCTATAGTGACAACGATGAGAACAGTGACAATGTTGACAACTGTGAAAACAGTGACAAGGTTGACAACAGTGACAACGATGAGAACAGTGACAATGGTCACAACAGTGACAACGGTGACAGCAATGAATACTGTCTCAACGGTGACAACGATGACAACAGTGACAACGGTGACAACGATGACAACAGTGACAACACTGACAACGTTGACAACGTTGACAACTGTGACAACAGTGGCAACCGTGACAACGGTGACAACAGTGACAACGGTGACAACTGTGACAACAGTGACAACAGTGACAACGGTGAGAACGGTGACAACGCTAAAACTGTCCTATAGTGACAACAATGACAACCGTGACAAGGGTGACAACGGTGAGAACAGTGACAACAGTGACAATTGTGACAACAGTGACAACAGTGACAACGAAGACAACAGTGACGACGGTGACAACAGTGACAATGGTAACAATAGCTAAAACAGTGACAATCATAAAAAATGTGAGAATCGTGACAACGGTGACAACGGTGACAACGGTGACAACACTGACAAGCGTGACAACCGTGACAAGAGTGAAAACCGTGACAAGGGTGACAACAGTGACAACGGTGACAACAGTAACAACAGTGACAACGGTGACAACTTTGACAACAGTGACAACGATGATAACAGTGACAACGGTGTAAACAGTGACAACAGTGACAAATGTGCGAGAATGGCGTCAATGGTGACAACGGGGACAACGGTGACAACAGTGACAACAGTGACAACCGTGACAAGGGTGACCACAGTATCAACGGTGACAACGGTCACAACAGTGACAACCGTGACAACAGTGACAACAGTGACAACCGTCACAACAGTGATAACGGTGACAACGGGGACAACGGTGAAAACGGTGACAACAATGACAACGGTGACAAGAGTGACAATGGTGACAACGGTGACAAGCGTGAAAACCGTGAAAGGGGTGACAACCGTGACAATGGTGACAATAGTGACAACGGTGACAATGGTGACAACGGAGAAAACAGTGACAAGGGTGACAATAATAACAACGCTGACAACAATGACAACGGTGACAACCTGCTATAGTGACAACGATGAGAACAGTGAGAATGGTGAAAACTGTGACAACGGTGACAACTGTCACAACACTGACAACGATGACAGCAGTGACAACTGTGACAACGGTGACAACGATGACAACATTGAGAACGGTGACAACGGTGACAACAGTGACAGCAGTCACAACGGTGATAACGATGACAACGGGGATAACGGTGAAAACGATGACTTAAATGACACCGGTGTCCACAGTGACAATGGTGACAACTGTGACAAAAGTGACAACCGCAACAAAGGTCACAACGCTGACAACAGTGAGAACGGTGACACTGGTGACAACAATGACAACGGTGACAACTGTGACAACGATAACAACGGTGACAACGATGACAACGATAACAGCTGTGACAACAGTGACAACCGCAACAAAGGTCACAACGCTGACAACAGTGAGAACGGTGACACTGGTGACAACAATGACAACGGTGACAACTGTGACAACGATAACAACGGTGACAACGATGACAACGATAACAACTGTGACAACAGTGACAACCGTGAAAACGGTGAGAACGGTGACAACGGTGACAAGAATGACAACAGTGACAACGATGAGAACAGTGACAACGGTGACAACAGTGACAACGGAGATAATAATGACAATAGTGATAATGGTAACAATGGTGATAACTGTCACAACGGTGACAACTGTTACAACACTGTCAACGATGACAAGAGTGACAACTGTGACAACAGTGACAACGATGACAACATTGACAACGGTGACAACGGTGACAACAGTGACAACCGTGACAACGGTGATAACGATGACAACGGGGACAACGGTAAAAACGGTGATAACAATGACAAAGGTGACAGCAGTGACTACGGTGACAACTGTGACAAAAGTGACAACCGCGACAACGGTGAGAACGGTGAAAACAGTGAGAACAGTGACATGGTGACAACAATGACAACGGTGACAACTGTTATAACGATGACAACAGTGACAATGGTGACAACAGTGACAACGGTCACAATAGGGACAATAGTGACAACGGGTCACTGGTGACAACGGTGACAAAGGTGACAACGGTGACAACTATCCTTTAGTGACAACGATGACAACAGTGACAACGGTGACAAGTGTGACAACTGTGAACACAGTGGCAACCGTGAGAACTGTGACAAAAATGACAGAAGTGATAAAAGTGACAACAGTGACAACGGTGACAACCGTGACAAAGGGGACAGCGATGACAACAGTGACAACGTTGACAACGGTGAAAACTGTGACAACAGTGACAACCGTGACAACGATGACAACAGTGACAAGGTTAACAACAGCGACAACGACGAGAACCATGACAATGGTCACAACAGTGACAACGGTGACAACGGTGACAAGTGTCTCAACACTGACAACGATGACAACAGTGGCAACGGCGACAACAGTGACAACAGTGACAACTGTGACAACAGTGACAACAGTGACTACAGTCACAACGGTGAGAACAGTGACAACGGTAAAACTGTCTTATAGTGACAACAATGACAACAGTGACAACCTTGACAACCGAGAGAAGGGTGACAACGGTAAGAACAGTGACAACATGACAATGAGTGACGACATTGAAAACAGTGACAATGGTAAGAATAGCTAAAACAGTGACATTGGTGACAAACGTGAGAATGATGACAAGGGTGACAACGGTGACAACGGTGAGAACGATGAGAACGATAAGAACTTCGACAACAGTGACAACCGTGACAACGATGACAACAGCGACAAGAATGAAAACAGTGACAACGATAAGAACAGGGACAATGATGACAACAAAGCCAAGGGAGACAATAATGACAATAGTGACAACGGTAACAATGGTGACAACTGTGACAACGGTGACAACTTTTACCACACTAAAAACGATGACAACGGTCACAACGGTAACAAAGATGACAATATTGACAACGGTGACAACAGTGACAACAGTGACAACCGTCACAACGGTAATAACGATGACAACGGGGACAATGGTCAAAACGGTGACTACAATGAAAACGGTGACAACAGTGACAATGGTGACAACTGTGACAAGTGACAACCGCGACAACAGTGACAACGATGACAACAATAAGAAAGGTGACACTGGTGACAACAATGACAACGGTGACAACTGTGACAACGATGACAACAGTGACAATGGTTACAACCGTCACAACGTTGACAATAGGGACAATAGTGACAACGGTGACAACGATGACAACAGTGACAACGCTGACAAGTGTGACAACTGTGAACACAGTGACAAACGTGACAACGGTGACAAAAATGAAAGAAGTCATAAAAGTGACAACAGTGACAACGGGGACAACAGTGACAACGATGACAACTGTGAAAACAGTGACAACAGTGACAAGGGGGACAACGATGACAACAGTGACAACGGTGACAACTGTGACAACAGTGACAACCGTGAGAAGAGTAACAACGCTGACAACGGTGACAACAGTGACAACGATGAGAAGAGTGACTATGGTCACAACAGTGACAACGGTCACAACAATGACAACGGCGACAACGATGACAACAGTGACAACGGGGAAAACTCTGACAACGGTGACAGCTGTGACAACAGTGGCAACCGTTACAACGGTGACCATGGTGACAACGGTGACAACTGTGGCAACAGTGTTAACAGTGACAACGGTGACAAAGGTGGGAACGGTGACAACGGTAAAACTGTCCTATAGTGACAACAATGAAAACCGTGACAACCTTGAGAAGGGTGACAACGGTGAAAAGAGTGAAAACGTGACAACGGTGACAACAGTGAAAACAGTCACAACGCTGACAACAGTGACAATGGTAACAATAGCTAGAAAAGTGACAATCGTGAGAAATGTGAGAATGGTGACAACGGTGACAACTGTGAGAACGGTGACAAGCGTGACAACCGTTACAAGGGTGACAACCGTGACAAGGGTGACAACCGTGACAAGGGTGACAACAGTGACAACGGTGAGAACGGTGACAACAGTGACAACGGTGACAACTTTGACAATAGTGATAACGATGAGAACAGTGACAACGGTGAACAGTGACATCAGTGATAATGGTGACAACAGTGACAACAGTGACAATCGTGACAACTGTGACAACGGAAACAACTCTCACAACAGTGACAACGATGACAAAAGTGACAACGGTGAAAGCGATGACCACAGTGACAACGGTGACCAGGTGACACTGTGACAACAGTGACAACAGTGACAACGGTGACAACGATTACAATAGTGACAAGGGTGACAACGGTGAGAACTGTGACATCAGTGAAAACAGTAACGACGGTGAGAACAGTGGCAGTGATAACAATAGCTAAGACAGTGACAATGGTGACAAATGTGAGAATGGTGACAATGGTGACAACGATGACAACAATGACAACCGTGACAACCGTGACAAGGGTGACAACAGTGAACAACGGTGAAAACGGTGACAAGGGTGACAACTGTTCAACAGTGACAACGATAAGAAGTTACTGACGACGGTGTCAACAGTGAAAACAGTGACAATGGTGACATCAGTGACAACTGTGACAATGGTGACAATGGTAAAAAAAGTCACAACGGTGACAACGGTGACAACTGTGAAAACACTGACAAGGATGACAATAGTGACAATGGTGACAACGATGACAATGGTGACAAGGTGACAACTGTAACAACAGCAAAAACCATGACAGTGTTGAAAACTGTGACAACTGTGACAACGATAATAACAGTTAAAAGGGTGACAAGGGTGACAACCGTGACAATGGTGAAAAGAGCGACAACTGTGACAATGGTGACCCCGGTGACAACGGTGACAACTCTGACAACGATAAGAACAGTTACAACGGTAACAAGGTTGACAACGGTGACAATGGTGACAATAGTGACAACGGTGACAATGGTGACAACGGTGACAACCGTGACAACGTTGACAACGTTGACAAGAATGACAATAGTGACAACGATGAGAATAGTGACAACGGTAACAACAAGGACAACGGAGACAATAATGACAATAGTGACAACGGTAACAATGGTGACAACTGTGACAACAGTGACAACTGTCACAACACTGACAACGATGATAACAGTGACAACGGTGACAACAATGACAAGAGTGACAACCATGAGAACCGTGACAAGGGTGACAACAGTGATAACCGTGACAACCCTGAGAACAGTGACAACGGGGACAACGGGGACAACAGTGACCACGGTGACAACGATGACAACATTGACAACGGGGACAACGGTGAGAATAGTGACAACCGTCCCAATGGTGACACCTGTCTCTTAGTGACAACAATGACAAGAGTGACAACGGTGAAAACTGTGACAACTGTGAACACTGTGATAACCGTGACAAGTGTGGCAAAAATGACAGAAGTGATAAAAGTGAAAACAGTGACAACGCTGACAACAGTGACAACGATGCCAACTGTGACAACAGTGACAAAGGTGACAACATTGACAACGGTGACAACTGTGACAACAGTGGCAACCATGACAACGGTGACATCGGTGACAACAGTGACAACAGTGACAACGGTGACAACGGTGACAACGATGACAACGGTAAAAACGGTAAAACCGTCCTATAGTGACGACAATGACAACAGTGACAACCGTGATAACCGTGACAACGGTGACAACGGTGACAACAGTGACAACGGTGAAAATGGTGACAACAGTGACAACTGTAACAATAGTGACAACAGTGACAAGAGTGACAACAGTGATGACGTTGACAACAGTGACAATGGTAACAATAGCTAAAACAGTGACAATGGTGACACATGTGAGAATGATGACAGCGGTGACAACGGGGACAACTGTGAGAACAGTGACAAGCGTGACAACCGTGACAAGGGTGACAACAGTGACAACGGTGAGAGCTTTGAAAACAGTGAGAGCGATGAGAACAGTGACAACGGTCTTAACAGTGACAACAGTGACAATGGTGAAAACAGTGACAACTGTGACGATGGTGACAACGGTGACAACAGTGAAGAGAGTTACAACGGAGACAACTGTCACAACACTGACAACGGTGACAACGGTGACAACTATGACAACGGTGACAACAATGAGAATGATGACAATAGTGACACGAGTGACAACGGTGACATAAGTGACAACACTGACAACGGTGACAACAGTGACAATGGTAACAATAGCTAAACCAGTGAAAATGGTGACAAATAGGAGAATGGTGACAATGGTGACAACGGTGACAACAGTGACAATGATGAGAACAGTGACAACGGTGACAAAGGTGACAACAGTGACAATGGTGACAACAGTGACAACGATGACAACGGTGACAACAGTGATTACAATGACAACGTTGACAACTGTGACAACGATAAGAACAGTTACAACGGTGACCGGGTTGACAACGGTGACAATCGTGACAATAGTGACAACGGTGACAACTTTGAAAACAGTGAGAACGATGAGAACAGTGACAATGGTGTGAACAGTGACAACAGTGACTTTGGTGAAAACGGAGAAAACTGTGAGAATGGTGACAACCGTGACAACTGTGACAACGATAAGAACAGTTACAATGGTAACAAGGTTGACAACGGTGACAATAGTAACAACGGTGACAATGGTGACAACGGTGACAACCGTGACAACGTTGACAAAGTTGACAAAAATGACAAAAGAGACAACGATGAGAACAGTGACACCGGTGACAACAGTGACAACGGAGACAATAATGAAAATAGTGACAACGGTAACAATGGTAACACCTTTGACAACAGTGACGACTGTGACAACAGTGACAACAATAACAACGGTGACAACGGTGACACGGTGACAACGGTGCCCACGGTGACAACGACGACAACATTGACAACGGTGACAACTGTGACAACAGTGAAAACCATCACAATGCTGACACCTGTCCTTTAGTGACAACGATGACAAGAGGGAACACGGTGACATGTGTGACAACTGTGAACAGTGTGACAACCGTGACATTAGTGAGAAAAATGACTGAAGTGATAAAAGTGAAAACAGTGACAACGGTAATATCAGTGACAACGATGCCAACTGTGACAACAGTGAGAACGGTGACAACGATGACAACAGTGACAACAGTGACAACGGTGAAAACGGTAAAACCGTCCTATAGTGACAACAATGACAACAGTGACAACCGTGATAACCGTGACAACGGTGACAATGGTGACAAGAGTGACAACTGTGACAATAGTGACAACAGTGACAACGGTGAGCACAGTGACGACGTTGACGACAGTGACAATGGTAACAATAGCTAAAACAGTGACAATGGTGACAAATGTGACAATGGCAACAACGGTGACAACAGTGACAACTGTGACAACAGTAACAAGCGTGACAACCGTGACAAGGGTGAGTCCAGTGAAAACGGTGAGATCGGTGACAACAGTGACAACGGTGACAACTTTGAAAATAGTGGGAACTATGAGAACAGTGACAACGGTGTGAACACTGACAACAGTGACAATGGTGAAAACAGTGACAATGGTGACAACGGTGACAACATTGACAACAGTGACAGCGGAGACAACTGTCACAATACTGACAACGATGACAATAGTGACAACGGTGACAATGATGACAACAGTGACAACGGTGACAACGGTGACAACTGTGACAAGAGTGACAACCATGACAACGGTGACACCGCTTACAACGGTGAGAACAGTGACAATGATGACAATAGTGACAAGGGTGACAACGGTGACAACTGTGACATCGGTGACAACAGTGTCAACGGTGACAAAGGTGACAATGGTAAAAATAGCTAAAATAGTGACAATGGTGACAAATAGGAGAATAGTGACAATGGTGACAACGGTGACAACAGTGACAACCGTGACAATGGTGACAACAGTGTCAACGGTGAGAACGGTCACAAAAGTGACAACTGCGACAACAGTGACAATGATGAGAACAGTGACAATAGTGACAAGGTTGACAACAGTGACAACTGTGACAATGGTGACAACGGTGACAACAGTGACAACGGTGACAATGGAAACAACTGTCAAAACACTGAGAACGATGACAACAGTGACAACGGTGATAAGGTGACAACTGTGACAACAGTGACAACCATGACATTGGTGACAACGATGACTACGGTGACGACTGTGACAACAGTGACAACGCTGAGAAAAGTTACAAAGGTGACAAGGTTGACAACGGTGACAATGGTGACAATAGTGACAACGGTGACAATGGTGAAAACGGTGACAACAGTGACAACAGTGACAATAGTAACAATAGCTGAAACACTCTAGTGACAATGGTGACAAATGTGAGAATGGTGACAACGGTGACAACTGTGACAACAGTCATAAGCGTGACAAGCGTGACAAGGGTGACAACAGTGACAACAGTGACAACTTTGAGAAAAGTAAAAACGATGAGAACAGCGACAACGGTGTGAACGGTGACAACAGCGACAATGGTGACAACCGTGACAACTTTGACAATGGTGACAACGGTGACAATAGTGACAACAGTGACAACGGAGGCAACTGTCAGAAAACGGACAACGATGACAACGGTGACAACGGTAACAACGATGGCAACACTGACAACGGTGACAACGGTGAGAAGGTGACAACTGTGACAACAGAGACAACCTTGACAACGGTGACAACAGTGACAACGGTAACAACGATGACACTAGAGAGAATGGTGACAGGTGCCAAATGTAACATCACTGACAACAGTGACGACGGTGACAACAGTTACAATGGTAACAGTAGCTAAAACAGTGACAATGGTGACAAATGTGAGAATGGTGACAATGGCGACCACGGTCAATACGTGATAACCGTGATAACCGTGACAAGAGTGACAAGAGTGACAACGGTCAGAACGGTCACAACAGTGACAACGGTGACAACTGTGACAACAGTGACAACGATGAGAACAGTGACAACAGTGTAAACAGTGACAACAGTGACAACAGTGACAATGGTGACAACAGTGACAAGTATGACAATAATGACAAGGGTGACAACAGTGACAACAGTGACAACGGTGACAACGATGACACAGTGGCAACAGTGACAATGGTAACAATAGCTAAAACATTGACAATCGTGACAAATGTGAGAATGGTGACAACTGTGGCAACGGTGACAACGATGAAAACGGTGACAACAATGACAACGGTGACAACAGTGACAATGGTGACAACTGTGAGAAAAGTGACAACCGCGACAACGGTGACACCGGTGACAACAGTGAGAACGGTGACATTGGTGACAACAATGACAACGATGACAACTGTGACAACAGTAACAACGGTGACAACGATGACAACAGTGACAAGAGTGACAACGGCGACAATGATGACACAGTAACAACGGTGACAACAGTGACAGCGATGACAACGATAACCGTGAAAACGGTTACAACGGTGACAACGGTGACAAGAATGACAAAGGTGACAGTGATGAGAACAGTGACAACGGTAACAACAGTGACAACGGAGACAATAATGGAAATAGTAACAACGGTAACAATGGTGACAACTGTGACAACGGCGACAACCGTTACAACACTGACAACGATGACAACAGTGACAACTGCGATAACGGTGACAACGATGACAACATTGACAACGGTGACAACAGCGACAACCGTCACAACGGTGATAACGATGACAACGGGGACAACGGGGAAAACGGTGACAACAATGACAACGGTGACAACTGTGATAACCGCGACAACGGTGAAAACGATGACAACAGTGAGAACGGTGACACTTTTGACAACAATGACAACGGTGACAATTGTGACAACGATGACAAGAGTGACAACGGTTACAACAGTGACAACGGTGACAATAGGAACAATAGTGACAACGGTGACAATTGTGACAACGGTGACAACGGTGACAACAGTGACAACGGTGACAACGGTGACAACTGTCCTTAGTGACAACGACGATAACAGTCACAACGGTGACAACTGTGACAACAGTGACAACAGTGACAACGGTGAGAACAGTGACAACAGTGACAACGGTGACAACAGTGACGACGGTGACAACTGTGACAACGGGGACAACGGTGACAACAGTCACAACGGTGACAACGGTGACCACTTTGAAAACAGTGACAACCGTGACAACGGTAAAAACAGTGACTTGGTTAACAACAGTGACAACGATGAGAACAGTGACAATGGTGAAAACGGTGACAACGGTAACAAGTGTCTCAACACTGACAACGATGACAACAGTGACAACGGTGACAACGATGACAACAGTGACAACGGTAACAACGTTGACAACGGTGACAACTGTGACAACAGTGGCAACCGTGACAACGGTGACAACGGTGACAACGGTGACAACAGTGACAACGGTGACAACAGTGAGAACAGTGACAACGGTAAAACTATCCTATAGTGACAAAAATGACAACAGTGACAACGTGACAATGGTGACAACCGTGACAATTGTGACAACGGTGACAACAGTGACAACAGTGACAAGAGTGACAACAATGGCAACGGTAACAACTCTCACAACACTGACAACGATGACAAAAGTGACAACGGTGAAAGCGATGACCACAGTGACAACGGTGACAAGGTGACAACTGTGACAACAGTGACAACAGTGACAACGGTGACAACGATTACAATAGTGACAAGGGTGACAACGGTGACAACTGTGACATCAGTGAAAACAGTAACGACGGTGAGAACAGTGGCAGTGATAACAATAGCTAAAACAGTGACAATGGTGACAAATGTAAGAATGGTGCCAATGGTGACAACGATGACAACAATGACAACCGTGACAACCGTGACAAGGGTGACAACAGTGAACAACGGTGAAAACGGTGACAAGGGTGACAACTGTTCAACAGTGACAACGATAAGAAGTTACTGACGACGGTGTCAACAGTGAAAACAGTGACAATGGTGACATCAGTGACAACTGTGACAATGGTGACAATGGTGAAAAAAAGTCACAACGGTGACAACGGTGACAACTGTGAAAACACTGACAAGGATGACAATAGTGACAATGGTGACAACGATGACAATGGTGACAAGGTGACAACTGTAACAACAGCAAAAACCATGACAGTGTTGAAAACTGCGACAACTGTGACAACGATAAGAACAGTGACAACGGTGTGAACAGTGACAACAGTGACAATGGTGAAAACAGTGACAACTGTGACAATGGTGACAACGGTGACAACTGTGACAACTGTGACAATGATAAGAACAGTTACAACGGTAACAAGGTTGACAACGGTGACAATGGTGACAATAGTGACAACGGTGACAACCGTAACAACGTTGACAACGTTGACAAGAATGACAACAGTGACAAAAGATAAGAACAGTGACAACGGTGACAACGGTGACAACGGTGACAACGAAGACAATAATTACAATAGTGACAACGGTAACAACGGTGACAACTGTCACAACACTGACAACGCTGACAACAGTGACAACGGTGACAACGGTGACAACGGTAAAACTGTCCTATAGTGACAACAATGACAACCGTGACAAGGGTGACATGGGTGACAACCGTGAGAACAGTGACAACGGTGACAACAGTGACAACGGTGACAACGGGGACAACAGTGACCGCGGTGACAACGATGACAACATTGACAACGGTGACAACGGTAAAAACAGTAACAACCGTCACAATGGTGACACCCGTCCTTTAGTGACAACGACGACAAGAGTGACAACGGTGACAACTGTGACAACTGTAAACACTGTGACAACCGTGACAACAGTGACAAAAATGACAGAAGTGATAAAGGTGACAACAGTGACAACGATGCCAACTGTAACAACAGTGACAACGGTGACAACGTTGACAACGGTGACAACTGGAACAACAGTGGCAACCATGACAACGGTCACAACGGTGACAACAGTGACAACAGTGACAACCGTGACAACGGTGACAACGGTGAAAACGGTAAAACCGTCCTATACTGACAACAGTGACAACAGTGACAACCGTGAAAACCGTGACAACGGTGACAACAGTGACAACGGTGACAATGGTGACAACAGTGACAACTGTGACAATAGTGACAACAGGACAATGGTGACAACAGTGAGGACGTTGACAACAGTGACAATGGTAAAAATAGCTAAAACAGTGACTATGGTGACAAATGTGAGAATGATGACAACGGTGAAAACGGGGACAACTGTGAGAACAGTGACAAGCGTGACAACCGTGGCAAGGGTGACAACAGTGACAACGGTGAGAGCTTTGAAAACAGTGAGAGCGATGAGAACAGTGACAACGGTCTTAACAGTGACAACAGTGACAATGGTGAAAACAGTGACAACTGTGACGATGGTGACAACGGTGACAACAGTGAAGAGAGTTACAACGGAGACAACTGTCACAACACTGACAACGGTGACAACGGTGACAACTATGACAACGGTGACAACAATGAGAATGATGACAATAGTGACACGAGTGACAACGGTGACATAAGTGACAACACTGACAACGGTGACAACAGTGACAATGGTAACAATAAGCTAAACCAGTGAAAATGGTGACAAATAGGAGAATGGTGACAATGGTGACAACGGTGACAACAGTGACAATGATGAGAACAGTGACAACGGTGACAAAGGTGACAACAGTGACAATGGTGACAACAGTGACAACGATGACAACGGTGACAACAGTGATTACAATGACAACGTTGACAACTGTGACAACGATAAGAACAGTTACAACGGTGACCGGGTTGACAACGGTGACAATCGTGACAATAGTGACAACGGTGACAACTTTGAAAACAGTGAGAACGATGAGAACAGTGACAATGGTGTGAACAGTGACAACAGTGACTTTGGTGAAAACGGAGAAAACTGTGAGAATGGTGACAACCGTGACAACTGTGACAACGATAAGAACAGTTACAATGGTAACAAGGTTGACAACGGTGACAATAGTAACAACGGTGACAATGGTGACAACGGTGAAAACAGTGACTTGGTTAACAACAGTGACAACGATGAGAACAGTGACAATGGTCAAAACGGTGACAACGGTAACAACTGTCTCAACACTGACAACGATGACAACAGTGACAACGGTGACATCGACGACAACAGTGACAACGGTAACAACGTTGACAACGGTGACAACTGTGACAACAGTGGCAACCGTGACAACGGTGACAACGGTGACAACGGTGACAACAGTGACAACGGTGACAACAGTGAGAACAGTGACAACGGTAAAACTATCCTATAGTGACAAAAATGACAACAGTGACAACGTGACAATGGTGACAACCGTGACAATTGTGACAACGGTGACAACAGTGACAACAGTGACAATCGTGACAACAATGGCAACGGTAACAACGTTGACTACGGTGACAACTGTGACAACAGTGGCAACCGTGACAACGGTGACAACGGTGACAACGGTGACAACGGTGACAACGGTGACAACTGTGACAACAGGGACAACGATGACACCAGTGACAACTCTGAGAACAGTGACAACCGTGACAACGGTGACAACAGTGACAAGGTTAACAACAGTGACAACGATGAGAACAGTGACAATGGTCACAACGGTGACAACGGTGACAACTGTCTCAACACTGAAAACGATAACAACAGTGACAACGGTAACAACGTTGACAACGGAAACTGTGACAACTGTGACAACAGTGACAACCGTGGCAACGTTGACAACGGTGACAACGGTGACAACGGTGACAACAGTGACAACGGTGACAACTGTGACAACAGTGACAACAGCAACAACGGTGAGAACAGTGACAACGGTAAAACTATCCTATAGTGACAAAAATGACAACAGTGACAACCGTGACAACCGTGACAAGGGTGACAACGGTGAGAACAGTGACAATGTGACAATGGTGACAACAGCGAAAACTGTGACAACGGTGACAACAGTGACAACAGTGACAACATTGACAACGGTGACAACAGTGACGACGGTGACAACAGTGACAATGGTAACAATAGCTAAAACATTGACAATCGTGACAAATGTGAGAATGCTGACAACGGTGGCAACGGTGACAACGATGAAAACGGTGACAACAATGACAACGGTGACAACAGGGACAATGGTGACAACTGTGAGAAAAGTGACAACCGCGACAACGGTGACAACGGTGACAACAGTGAGAACGGTGACACTGGTGACAACAATGACAACGATGACAACTGTGACAACAGTAACAACGGTGACAGCGATGACAACAGTGACAAGAGTGACAACGGTGACAATGATGACACAGTAACAACGGTGACAACAGTGACAACGATGACAACGATGACAACGATAACCATGAAAACGGTTACAACGGTGACAACGGTGACAAGAATGACTAAGGTGACAGTGATGAGAAAAGTGACAACGGTGACAACAGTGTTAACGGAGACAATAATGACAATAGTAACAACGGTAACAATGGTGACAACTGTGACAACGGCGACAACCGTTACAACACTGACAACGATGACAACAGTGACAACTGTGATAACGGTGACAACGATGACAACATTGACAACGGTGACAACAGTGACAACCGTCACAACGCTGATAATAGGGACTTTAAGATAGGTCACTACGGTAGGCTGGGACGGTTGGATGCGTATACGGGCGGCCTGGGGCCATGACGGTAAGAGGCCGCGAAAATTTTCAATTTAAGATCGGACAACAAAACAGGACGGTGAAGTCATGTGCTAAACCCGCTCGTCATTTCTTTCGCAGAAGGCTCAATTACTGAAGAAGAGTTTCTTATTTTATACGAATATAAAATACCAATCAGAGGAATAAGGGTACAAATTAAAGCTAGCTAGTTTTCAAAACTGTAGTCGATGTTTTTATTTTGAACTTTCCTTTCCTCAGCCAACACCTTTTGAGTTATAAAGAAATCTTTTCTTGGTAAAAATACAGTTTTAAGTTGTAAAAAAGACGGCTACAGTCATCACTGTTAGGCCCAGTTGAAACGTCGAACTTCTCATGTGCCGAAACTTTTAAAGCACAAATTACTAAAATTTATTTTCACTTGTTTAAAGCATTCTAGACCATTGAACATCGTGAATCGAGTTCGACTACACTTTAAGTTCGACGCCTGAATCAACTTCGAACCATTTGGGTCGACCTAAATAGGTATTAAGTTCGGTACATGAAAAGACCAACGTTTGAACTGGGCCTTACCTTTCTTTTCGGCAATTTTCCTCAGCCATGGCGGACGACACTAGGTAGAAAACAAGCAGTCGCCATGCGGCCGCGAGCTAAGTTATGAATGAACTCAGACATTTTGCTTTTTTTTTCATTTCACCGATAGGTAAATCAATGAAAACACAAGCCAACGTATATTTAACCCATTGGCTACTCAGTTTTAGAAGAAAAGTGACAATAAGTATGCATGAACTCTTATCGGTTTCACCGTTGTCTTCACGACGAGAAACCCGGCGAAAACATACCGTCCCAGAAGGACGACGGTAAAAGGTCACGCGTGTTTTGCGTGACGTGACATCTATCTAACCGTCCCAGGCGACCGTAGTCACCTATCTTAAAGTCCCTAACGATGACAACGGGGACAACGGGGAAAACGGTGACAACAATGACAACGGTGACATGTGTGACAACCGCGACAACGGTGAAAACGATGACAACAGAGAACGGTGACACTTTTGACAACAATGACAACGGTGACAATTGTGACAACGATGAAAAGAGTGACAACGGTAACAACAGTGACAACGGTGACAATAGGGACAATAGTGACAACGGTGACAATGGTGACAACGGTGACAACAGTGACAACGGTGACAACGGTGACAACGGTGACAACCTTGACAACTGTCCTTTTGTGACAACGATGATAACAGTGACAACGGTAATTAGTCTAACAACTGTGAACACAGTGACAACCGTGACAACGGTGAAAACGGTTACAACGGTGACAAGAATGACAAACGTGACAGTGATGAGAACAGTGCGAACGGTGACAACAGTGACAACGGAGACAATAATGACAATAGTAACAACGGTAACAATGGTGACAACTGTGACAACGGTGAAAACTGTTACAACACTGACAACGATGACAACAGTGACAACTGTGATAACAGTGACAACGATGACAACAGTGACAACTGTGATAACAGTGACAACGATGACAACAGTGACAACGGTGACAACAGTGACAACGGTGACAAGGGTGAGAACAGTGACAACGGTGACAACTTTGACAACAGTGACAATGATGAGAACAGTGAGAACGGTGTCAAAAGTGACAACAGTGACAATGGTGACAACAGTAACAACTCTGACAATGGTGACAACGGTGACAACGGTGACAACAGTGACAACGGAGACAACTGTCAAATCACTGACAACGAAGACAACAGTGACAACGGTGAAAACGATGACAACGTTGATAAGGTGAAAAATGTGACAACAGTGACAACCATGACAATGGTGACAACGATGACAACAGTGACAACAGTGACAACGGTAAGAACTTTACAACGGTGACAAGGTTGATAACGGTGACAATGGTGACAATAGTGACAACGTTGACAATGGTGACAACGGTGACAATAGTGACAACGGTGACAACAGTGTCAATGGTAACAATAGCTAAAACAATGACAATGCTGACAAATGTGACAACGGTGACAACGGTGACAACTGTGACAACAGTGACAAGCGTGAAAAGCGTGACAAGGGTGAGAACCGTGACCAGGGTGACAACAGTGACAACGTTGACAACGATGACAACAGTTACAACGGTGACAATTTTGACAACAGTGACAACGATGAGAACAGTGACAACGGTGAACGTTGACAACAGTGAGAATGGTGACAACAGTGACAAATGTGCGAGAATGGTGACAATGGTGACAACAGTGACAACCGTGAGAATCGTGACAAGGGTGACAACAGTATCAACGGTGACAAGGGCCACAACAGTGACAACGGTGACAACTGTGACAACAGTGAGAATGATGAGAATAGTGACAACGGTGTCAACAGTGACAACAGTGACAATGGTGACAACAGTGACAACTCTGACAATGGTGACAACGGTGACAAGAGTGACAACGGTGAGAACGGAGACAACTGTCAAAACACTGACAAGGATGACAACAGTGACAACGGTGACAAAGATAACAACGGTGATAAGGTGAAAACTGTGAGAACAGTGACAACCATGACAATGGTGACAACGATGACAACAGTGACAACAGTGACAACGATAAGAACAGTTACAACGGTGACAAGGTTGACAAGGATGACAATTGTGACAATAGTGACAATGGGGACAATGGTGATAACGGTGTCAACAGTGACAACGGTGACAACAGTGACAACGGTGACAAACAGTGACAATGGTAACAATAGCTAAAACAGTGACAATGGTGACAAATGTGAGAATAGTGACAACGGTGACGACGGTGACAACTGTGACGACAGTGACAAGCGTGAGAACCGTGACAAGGGTGACCACAGTGACAATGGTGACAACGGTGACAACAGTGACAACGGTGACAACTTTGACAACAGTGAGAACGATGAGAACAGTGACAGCGGGGTGAACAGTGACGACAGTGACAATGGTGTCTACAGTTACAACTGTGACAATGCAGTGGTGACAACGGTGACAACAGTGACAACAGTGAGAACGGAGACAACTGTCACAACACTGACAACAATGACAACAGTGACAACGGTGACAACGGTGAGAAGGTGGCAACTGTGACAACAGTGACAACCATGACAACGGTGGCAACAGTGACAACGGTGACAACGAAGACAATAGTGACGAGGGTGACATCGGTGACAACTGTGACATTAGTGACAACAGCGACGACTGTGACAACAGTGAGAATGGTAACAATAGCTAAAACAGTGACAATGGCGACAAATGTGAGAATGGTGACAATGGTGACAACGGTCACAACTCTGACAACCGTTACAACCGTGACAAGGGTGACAAGAGTGACAACGGTCACAACGGTCACAACAGTGACAACGGTTACAACTGTGCAACAGTGACAATGATGAGAACAGTGACAACGGTGTCAACAGTGACAACAGTGACAATGGTGACAACAGTGACAACTGTGACAATGGTGACAACGGTGGCAAAAGTGACAACGGTGACAACGGAGAAAACTGTAAAAACACTGACAACGATGACAACAGTGACAATGGTGACAACGATGACAACGGTGACAAGGTGACAACTGTGATAACAGTGACAAACATGACAACGGTGACAACGATGACAACAGTGACAACAGTGACAACAATGACAACGTTGACAACTGTGACAACAGTGACAACGATAAGAACAGTTACAACAGTGACAAGGTTGACAACGGTAACAATGGTGACTATAGGGACAATGGTGACAATGGTGACAACGGTGACAATAGTGACAACGGTGACAACAATGACAACGGTGACAACCTCCTATTGTGACAACGATGAGAACAGTGACAATGGTGACAACTGTGAAAACAGTGACAACCGTCACAAAAGAGACAACAGTGACAGAAGTGATAAAAGTGACAACAGTAAAAACGGTGGCAAACGTGACAACAGTCGCAACATATACAACAGTTACAACGATGACAACAGTGACAACGGTGTTAACTGTGACAACACTGACCACAGTTTCAACGATGACAACAGTGAGAACAGTGACAACGGTGACAACAGTGACAACAGTGGCAACGGTGACTTTCGTTATAACGGTGAAAACGGTGAGAATGGTGACAACGGTGACAACGATGACACAGTGACAACAGTGACAACGGTGACAATAGTGACAATAGTGACAACGGTGATATCGGTGACAACGGTGACAACTGTGTTAACGATGAGAACATTGACAACGGTGACAACGGTGAAAACAGTGATAACGGTGACAACAGTGATAACGGTGATAGAAGTGATAAAAGTGACAAGAGTGAAAACGGTGGCAAATGTGACAACGGTAACAACATTGCCAACAGTTACAACGATGACAACAGTGACAATGGTCTTAACAGTGACAACACTGACAACAGTGTCAACGATGACAACAGTGATAACAGTGACAACAGTGAAAACGGTGACAAGAGTGACAACGGTGAGAACGGTGACTTCTGTTATAACGCTGACAACAGTGACAACAGTGACAACGGTGACAATGGTGACAAAGGTGACATCAGTGACAACGAGGACAACAGTGAAAACTGTATCAAGAGTGACAACGGTGACAACGAGGACAATGGTGACAATAGTGACAACAGTGACAACACTGGCAACGGTGACAACGATGACAACATTACCAACAGTGACAATAGCTAAAACAGTGACAATGGTGACAACAGTAACAAAAGTGAAAACGGCGACAAAAGTAATTAAGTGACAACGGTGACAACAGTGCAACAGTGACAACTATGACAACCTTTACAACAGTGACAATAGTGACAACGGTGACAAAATGATAACAGTGACAAGAGTTACCAAGGTGAATATGGTGAAAACAGTGACAACAGTGACAACAATAACAACAGTGACAACAGTGACAAAAGTGTCAACGGTGACAACGGTGACAACAGCTACTAGAGTGAGAACAGTGACAACGATGACAACAGTGACAACGGTGATAATGGTGACAACAGTAAGAAAGGTGACAACGGTGAGATCGTTGACAACAGTGACAACAGTGAAAACGGTGACAACAGTCACAACAATGACAGCAGTGACAACAGTAAAAATAGTGAACGGTGACAATGGTGACAACAGTGACAACGGTGACAAGATTGACAACTATGACAACAGTGTCGAGCGTGACAACAGGGACAACGGTAAAAAGGTGACAAGAATAACAACAGTGGCAATGGTGACAACGGTGACAACGGTGAAAACAATGACAACAGTGACAATACTGACAACAGCGACAACAGTGACAATGGTGAAAACAGTGAGAAAGTTGACAACGGTGACCACAGTGACAACAGTGACAACGATGACAACAGTGACAAAGGTGACAAATATGACAACGGTGACAACAGCGACAACGGTGACGATGGTGACAACAGTAAAAAGGGTGACAACGGTGACAACGTTGACAACAGTGACAAAGGTGACAATGGTGATAACAGTGACAAAACGGTGACAACGGTGACAGTGACAACGCTGACAATAGTGACAACAGTGACAACAGTGACAAAAGTGAGAACGACAAAAGTGACAACAGTGGCAACAGTGACAATAGTGACAACAGTGACCATTGTGACAAGAAGGACAACAGTGACAATGGTGACAACGGTGACAACGGTGACAACGTTGACAAGAGTGACAACAGTGACATTGGTGACAACAGTCACAACAGTGACAACAGTCACAACTATGACAACAGTGAAAACAGTGAAAAGAGTGACAGCGGTGACAACGGTGACAACAGTGACAAAGGTGACAATGGTGACAACATTGACAACGGTGACAAGAGTGACAATAGTGACAAAGGTAAAAAAGGTGACAATATTGACAACAGTGACAATGGTGACAACGGTGACAACGGTGACAACAGTGACAACAGTGACAACAGTGACAATGGCGACCACAGTGACTACGTTGACAACGGTGACAACGGTGAAAACAGTGACAAGAGTGACAACGGTTAAGACAGTGACAACGGTGACAACGGTGACAACGGTGACAACGGTGACGACTGTGACAACGGTGTCAACTGTGACAACAGAAACAAGCACACGCTTTTTCAAAAGCTAAAGTATACTTTATTAATGACAATACAAAAAGAACAAATGTGCGTGCACCATAGCCGGACACGTAAACCTCGAAAAACCAACTCTGGAAAAAATATGGGTACCGTGTAACCCCGACCATTGCTATGGTGCTGCCGTTGGGTTTCAAGGTTTTCTACTGTACATAAAAATATGAGAAAAAAATTAAACTTTAGCAACTTAAAAAGTACGTATTTAAACTAGGATAAAAGTCAAACAAATCTATGTTTTGGCACTGCAAAATATTATATATACTGTTTATTGATAACAGAACCAATTTGCAAAGCTATGATACCGTACCTTTTACTACAGATACATGTTGTGACTAAGTGAACTGGGCTGATTGGGGATCAATTAATGAGCTCTTCTTTCCTAGCTTTCACCTTCCAGGTCGGCAAGCAAGTGGGAAAAAAACTCGTATTTCAAAAATACTCAATTTTCGTAAAATTTCAGATTAGGAAAAAAATTACTCAGAACCTCTGAAAATCTTCATGCATTAGAAGGTTATTGCTGGTTATGTTACATGTTTAATGAAATCAGCATCAGTAGCGTTAATTCAGAAGAATTTAGAAGTTCCAAGTTATATTCTAACGTCCGGTGAGCTGCACGTAGCCCAACTGTGAAATTTTACTTTACAGTGAAACAAAAAGAAGGAAATAAGATTGCTATTTATAAAATGGCTTTTCCCCTTTACATCATGGCTCCAAAATGTGCTTTGTCACTAATCGAACATGAAGCTATTATGATGAAAACAGACATCAGTATCCTACGTTTTTTTATGATCTCTTAGTACTCTTTAAGAATTTCCTCTGCGAAAAATTCATGAAAATTTTTGTTATGGTCTTCCATTTCCTTTTATCCTAAATAGTTAGGTGCACTGTCACAAAATTTCATTGGAATGGTGACGCTATTCCCACTTACATATACACTCTTAATAGTTAGGGATAAGTAACGATAATTCATGAATGCTTTGAAAAAGTTTAGTATTGGCTGTAAAATTAATTGCTGGCTGACATCTATTCCCTCATTCCTGAGTCGAGAAGAATGCTACATCTCAAGTGTATAGCTCCAATCTTACGGTCGTCATAGAAACAAATAATAAACATGGCATAAGAGCTGAAAACGTGATAACAGTGCTAAGCAAAGGCGTTTTTGAGTGAGGCACGTCAACCAGAAGTGGACTTTTTACAATCGTCTCTACAAGTGTAAAGAAACTGAGCAATACAAACTTTACATTGAAAAGAAATTCTTTTCCGGTTGACCGCTATGGAAGTTGAATGTCTCTTGCTAGTGAAAATAGGCGCGAACTGAACTATTCTCTTTAAACATGAGCCACTCTGAAATAAGGTTTTTCCTTGGGGTGTCGACCACACAATCTTCGTCCAAAGCACTCTTTTTCTGGAAGCTGTTGAGAGGAAAACAGTTTGGGAAAGATAGCAAAGTGTTTTTCATTGTAAACTATGATCTCCCCAAAGTTTTTTTTGCTAGCTATTGTCGTCGGGTACTTCGTAATTGCAGTATTATAAGGAAGTATGCAATCAGTGCCTATTTCCACTAATACTTTGTTTTTGCCTGCAATGATGAAATTAAGCAAAATCCGGTCCAATAGACTTTTGAAACCCATTCTAAGATGCGGCTTAATTCAGTTCCCAGCTTTAAGCAAAGCACGGATCTAGACGCGCTAATTTAGAGAAAAGTGAAGTCCAAATCACTAGTTTAACTGAATACATTATCGAAGCTCCGCTTTCCATTACTTCCTCCTTTGAAGGTTTTGGGTCATTGCGAATATTCCTGTTAAAGAAGGACATGGATAAGTGTTATGTTACTCACCAGGAGAAGACGCCATAGCCACTTATTAAACAACTTATTAAGAACATCTTCATTGTCATCTTCACTGTCGTCATCATCGTCATCGTGGTCGTCAGCGTCGTCATCATCATCATCATCATCATCATCATCCAGCGTCGTCATCATCATCATCATCATCATCCTCATGATCATCGTCATCATCACCATCATCGTCATCATCATCAATGTAACAAGCGTCAGTCGTCCAGTCCTCCAAACACTGGCATCACGGTGTATCGTCAGGCTGCTTAGCTTGTTGACGTTCAGGGCCCCAAGAACTCTCAAGAAAAGTAAAGGAAAAAAGGGTTTAACTGATCTTATTATCAAAGCTTTGGTTTTCCCTAACTCCTTCATTGGGTCGTTTTGTTAAATGGGTTATGATGACAAGACAGCAAAGACAAAAGCGACTCGAGGTTTCCTGATCTTTCGGCGGACGGCAAGGCGTTTTTCTTCAGGAGTAAAATAGGGACAAAACTTAACGACAAACACACGAAAGAATAAAGGCAAAAAAAAAAAACAAATTACATTCTTTAAATTAACTTAAAGAATGTAACAAAATGATAATAATGATTGTAATGATATTAATAGAAAAAGGAAGAGCGTTAAAAGTTGCAACTAAAAACAATACCTCTATTGGTATTTTTGAAACGTCGCTGCTTAAATTTCTAACGCAGTAACGTTTTCAACAAATAACTAAGGTGTTTTTTGTTGCTTTGAATTCCTTTCCTATTATCATCATCATTATTATCATTACTATTATATTGTTTATATTCCTTTATTTTTTGTTTTATTGTTGTGATATTTTATCATTTATTATTATTTCTTTATTCCTATTTTAAAGTTATTTTTTTCTTAAATATTTGTACACTAATTTACTTTCTTGCCTTTTTTCTCTATTTTGCTTCAAATTGGTCTACCATTTACTTCATCCGCAAGACACCAATTTCATTTTAATCCCTACTGGCCTTTAAATCTTCTGAGAAATAACGCCTAGACTAAACTCAAATCCCGTTTGACTTTGCTGTTGTGCTACTACAGTTGGAGTTAGATAGTTGGATTTAGAACAATGTTGCTATTATTGCAAAAACTTCAATGCGTTTCACCTTTTGAAGAAGGACATAGACAAATGCATCATCACCATCTTTATCCCATGTGACATCTCATTACCATTCTCTTCTTCTTTGACGTTGTCATAATGGCCACAATCATTGTAACAGGCGTCACGTCTGTCTTCAAGACAAACCCTCCTCGGACGGCTCCTGTATCTTTCAAGAACAAGGAATCAAGACTTCATACAAACATGAAAGTTTTGACATATTTTTAAAAAAGGTGGAGCTGCGACATTTTTCTCCAAGATTTTTGTAGGTTTAGCATATTTTAAATTATTCATGGAATTCCTTACGGAACCACTACGCACTGATTTGTGCCCACTCCTTTTTAATTTCATCGCAAAATTGCACCTCAGGATTTCTTCATGGTTTTCTCGTGGTGCCTTATTTCTTTTCAGTCTGGTCTTGTCCAATTTCTGGGAAGAAGATGAGAGCATTCTCTTTTCTTCTACTTACCGGCAGTCGTGTTAAGTAGCTCTTTTCGTATCGCTATCAAGTCACTTGCTAGGACTTCATGACTGCCGCCCTGAAAAGGCGCTACTATCTGCAATTTCCACGTCTAAGTAGAATACATCTCAATAGCAAGAGATTTAGAATATCAAATGGGCAATTGATCTTCTCATCTACTTTACATGCCATTAGACCTGGGTTCGAATCTCATTAACACCTGGTAAAGATGGTTGGTAACACATCAAAGAACTTTCATGGATTAGAATTCCATTGAAGGAGACGATCTGTTCTAAAGTGCAGGCCTGCATAAAGTGAATAGGCGCCTTTAACTCAGGAAACCGCGTTTGTAGCACACTGAAACTAACTATTCCGTTAACCATTTCCGATGTTTTCCCCCTTCCATTATATTTTAACTTGAATGTACGCAACTTTCAGTAGATCTCTCTGGGTTCACAAAACTTGATCCAAGCTCAGTGAGTTTTTGTGGTATTTTATTTGGCAAGGTTGGGTTGAGCGTGTGTTAATTTTATTTGTACTTACCCATGATGTGCGACGCGTGTTCGGTCATATAAATGCCTAAAGACTCCCCGTTGCATTTCTTCTCGCTGACATCTAGGATTTTTGGACCTGAAAGCAAGAGTTCTCAAGAACATGGATTAAGCAAAATGGGGATTACAAATAAATGTTTGCTGTATCTCTCATGTAATCCTTAGAAAGTTTCTTCTTGAAATTTTGGTCTAAGAAGTAGTCAGTCACCTCGCAGCGTTGTTCTAGAATTGTCCTCGAGGATTTGTATTCCCTTAAAACAGGACATTCATCCTTGTAGAACTCAGGGGGATGATCACTGGAGTCATGGCTTGCAATTAAAACTAGAATAGTATACTCGGTAGGTGAAAATTTGCCACCTTTCTGGTACTTACCTCGGATCTCTTTAGTTGGACACGTTCCAGAATCATCTGATGGAGCATAAGCACATGTTTCAGCGCATTTCCCCCGAGTAACAAATTTAGTGTACTTACGGTCCGTTTAAGTGATTCTTACTTACCTCTTCTGCGCTGGTAAACGCCAACTTCACGCGCGGAAACTGAAACACAAAAAAATAGCTCAACAGTTAAGGCATCTTCAAAGACTAACAAATATCTGCCTAAATCTTCAGCGCTTCAATCTTCTTTCAGTGAGAAACAGGATCGTCAAGCGTTTCTTCAGGAACGCAGGCAGATGAACTTCCAAAAATGTTCTTCAGTTTATGAGAGCAGACGTCAAACGTCCAGTTTCGCTGCGTGCTTGGTCTTCAATGTAAAGGGCGCGCCCAATAAGATCTCTTCAAGGCGATGTTACCAAGGAAAAAAGTTAAAAAGAAAGATGACGTCCGAAGTTCCTGAAATAAAACCTTTTAAGTTAGTCATTTTTGGTTAAATATGAAAATACACCAGTGACGAGGTTACATTTTGTTGGTCAACCTTTATTGTTCATTCCTGAAAAGCAGCTCCGTTACAGCAACGTCTAGATAACTTATTTACTAATAGATAATTTCCTGACGTTTAAAAGCAAAATCAAGCTGACGACATACCAGTTGTTTTGTTAAATTTTATTTTTCATTAACTTTAAATTCCGTACAACTCAATTAGAGTAAGATTAATAATAAAGTATCTGCCATTCCTGTAGTACTTTTACTCTTTCCGTACTTTCAAAAAGATGGTGCCATGCGTTTCTTCAAGAACGCATCCAAAAAGTAGCAGAAAAGGTGGAAAAAACCTTGAGCGACGTTGAGAGGGCGCGCCCAAAAAAATGTGTTTCCATTCACGCGAGAAAAAAAGTGGTGGTTGAGTCCAAAAAAAGATGGACGTAAGTACCTGAAATAAAAAATGAGTTATTTGTGTTTTTATAGCTTGAAGAGCACACTGATGAGACACTCATTTGACTGTGCATCGGTGCATTCGTTTTTTTTAAAAAAGAGATCACACTCACTACTCAGTGTTTTTTTGCTTCATTTTTATTGGCGTTATTACAACAAGTATTGTTCGTGTAAATCAAATCATCATTAGTTAATACTACAGTTAATTATTCTATTGGTTTTAGCTAGCTTTAAAAAGAAAAATCACGCAGACAACACCTCATTTTAAGTGTTTTTATTGAACTCAGATCGCCGTTTACAGAAGTTAAGTACTCTACGTTGATCGGTGCGCCCCCACAATTTTTTCGCTTTTATACAATGTGCGCATTTCTAAAAAAGACATCACACGCAAAAATAAGTGTTCTTTTATTAATATTTCAATTGGCGTTATTACAACAAATATTTCGTAAAAAACCTGCAAATCAATTCATCATTAGTGCTATAGTTAACTACTCTATTGATTAAGTTTTAAAGAAAAACCACACAAACAACATCTTAGTTTAAGTGTTTTTATTGAATCCAGTTCGCCTTTTACAGAAATTAAGTAATCTATTTAGATGGCGGGTGCGCTCCTACAAGAATTTGGCGTCCGAGTGAGACCGAGGAGTGTGACATGTGTCCATAAACTTTGACACCTCGAATGAAACACACCAAGGTCCCCCGGACGGTACGCTGGGATATTTAGCGGCTTGCTATCGAAACATCTTCGATACCAAGTCCTCACATTTTTCGAAGCCGAATCCGGAATCAGATCGCAAGTAGAGTAGAAGACCGGAAAAAGCCGAATGGACCGAACCGAATATCTAATCGCCTAACAAAGAAAAAAAAAATTCCACATACCTGGTGCCACGCACGTTGAATTATTACTTGGGCTGATTGATGTGGTGCAATGTTTGCGTTAGCCACAAGCCTTCCTACAAAAACAACTTTGCCGCGAAAATTTGCCGTATACGCTATCCTAGACCGAGCGAGTCAGGGTCGCGCAAACTTTGTACCAACATAAATCAACCCTACCTTATATGGGCTGCTGTACTCTGTCATCATGTTCCTCCACCAAACTTGGGACCAACGATGCTTGGACCCACAATCAAATAGACCAAGGCGTAGATAACAAAAAAATATACACAGTCCATGATGACTTGACGTTGCTCCGAAGATGAAGTCCGGCCGGCCGATTAATTTTTTTATTAAAATTACTACTATTAGTAGCTGTCTCAACTAACACTGGACTATGAGACAGCAGCAACAACAACTGCCAAACAGGGGATCCGAGATAAGATAAAATTAAACTCCTGCGCGCAACAGTTTAATTTCAGAATTGCATTTTTCACTTGCTTAATTTCAAGAAAAAATTGTTTCATTCGTTTCAAAATTTGTTGAATTTGTTCCCTGGACTTGAAAAAAGGGGATAATATAGAGCGTTATTATGGTTGTCAACGTTTAGTTGAGACAGCTTTTAAACGTTATTGCTATATGCTGTCTTCCCTGGCTTTACCTTGCCTTCCTAATCATGAACTCGTAGTTGCACTACGATGTCACCGGCTTCTGCTTACAAAGAAGCAGAATGACGTGGTAGTGTAAACGATCATCAACATCATAGTCGTCATCATCATCGCCATAGCTTGCTTTGGTCCTACGTGATTCTCATTCTCCATTCATCGCCGCAAAAGGCAGCTACCTCGTCTACTTAATAAGTAACTGGACTATCTCTCTAGGGCTCTCCAAGTTCTTTGTTCTTCTTTCTTCGGCCGGCCTAGTCTTTTAATAAAGCACTGGACCACAATACAGTACAATACAACACAACAATAAAATCCTTTTTATTCACATTTTCCAACGTTAAAAAAAATATATGTACATAAATAAACAGTGTGCTGTATAGGATTCAGTCCCAGTAATGACGTAATTCAAAAAGTGTTGGAGGTAGAACTGCTGACAACTCCCAGAAAACGAGAAAACCAATAACCACGAACGGTCGACCTGAAGACTACGTACGCCTACCATTTGTAGACGGTCTGTGCCTGCGCAGTGCAAAGCAGGACTTCCTGAGAAGAAAACCCTCCAGCGAGGCAAAATTGACAGGAAAACAAAGCAAATCGTCTTAGTGTCAATGATGCCGCAGCCAGAGTATCCTCTCCTGCTACTTACTGAAGGACTATCTATAACCAGCGAGGTTTTCACCAGAATGCCATTCAGGGGCACGCATATCAAAGTATGGTGGGCCTCCACATGTGTTCCCCCGAAATATTCGCTCTATCATAGCATTCTCGTAATTACTTCGCTGGGTACTAACGTTGCTAAAAGCCTATTAGCCTGTTCGTGCTCCTCCAACGATGAATCTGCGTCGTAGATTGGTCTCGAAGACTTCCTACGCTTACGATTTGTAAACGATCTAGTCTATGGTGTGTGGATTGTCCCATATTTCCCTGGTAACCTGCAGCAAGGTGTTTACTCTTCGCGGGAAGAGACACCCGGTCGCAGATTGCCTTCTTTGTGTGACTAAACCTGTTAACTGATCTACACTCACAAGTTCGAAGTCTGCAAATGTGCATCAAAAATTTCGCTTCACATCTCTGCTCTTTAATATCAAAAACTGGTAGGATCAGACCCGAATTTGCGAGGCTAAACTAACTATCTACCAGTAACCAGAGAAACCATTAAGCCTGTAAGCGGTGACCAAATGAGGTACTCTCACTCAAGCTGAATGATCTGTAGTCTCTAGTATGCTAAGTCTTAGAATAATTAGGGTCTGGTTGAACCTTACGAATGAAATCTTCACTTGATCAGCGCATAGACTGTCAAGTGAAGTGTAATATATAAACTGAATTTGGCGCAACTAAGCGGGAGACTGCCGACAAGACGGCGTTGACGACGACGACCACAAAGGCGGTGAAGTCCAGCTGAAGAAAAGCGTGAAAAGACGGAGCCGAACTGATTCCTTGAAGCCGAAACGAATTCAAAAAGCCTAGCCGATTCCTAGTAAAAGCCGAATTCTCGTCGCTGATCGAACACCTGCAAAGGAACCCAACTTAAGAAAAAGGGAAGGGGAGGCCCTTACCAACCCGGGTAACCCCGCTAACTAATCTAACTACAGTTAAGTTAAGCCGTTCGAATAAGAAATCCAGAAACTTCGGGCCGAACGTGTGTGGAAAGTTTGCTTTGCAAGGTTCATCCAGAGCTCTATATATACCCCCCTTGACCCAACCCACAAAGAATGCACCTGACCTGTACAATTTCAGAAAATTGGGTGTGCTGTGCTGATTTGATGCTGAGTAGTCAAGGATAGTAGTCTGGTGGGTTTTGTTGGTCTGGCATGGAGGTGGTGGCCTGATCTGATGGACTGATAATTTGGTGATTGGGTCTGATGGTCTGATCTGAGGTCGGGTCTGCTGTCATGTCTGTAATCGTCTGGTGGCCGGTCTGTCTGATGAACTGGTTTAGTGGTCTGGTTTAACGGTCTCAAAAGTCTGCCTGCATGAAGAAGTTGGTCTGGTCTGCTTGAGGGCTGAAAATTGAAAAAAAGAAATGATTAAAATGCTGAGGTGGTAGTAGTGACGTGTCAGGGAGCTACTTATAGATTCGTAAAGAAAAGCGGAAAAAAATGGAAATATTTTATTTTTCAAATTCCGTCATAAGGCGCAGATTTTTAAGGATTCAAAGTCATGTCGAAAGAGGGTCCGAACTATAAAAACCTAGCAAACAACTGATACAGGGCTATGCTGATGATCTCATCAGTCTATTACTTTTGTATCGCTTGAGTTTGCTCCTGTTCATGATTGAGTTTAATATATCATATGAAAAATAAATAAGTTTTGATGGCAAAATGGCCTTAATACTGTTAATCTATTTATCTAATCAGTATATTTCTGGCTTCAGGGCAATTTCGCCAAAATCTTGAAAAGAGTAATGGAAACCATCGAACCAGAAAAACTCGAAAAGTGATTAATAATTTACAAGTGTATCGGCATTCAAGACATCTATGGATTCAACATCCATGTAATAAAAAAACATTTAATACGATAGTTTGGTCTAGTTTAATTATCAATTATAACTATTTGTAAATGTTTAACTGCGTTTCTTGGTAAGATTTCCGTACAGTCCCTACATTTATTGTGCATGCAGCAATTTGAACTCACAAAAAAAAAAGTTAATATCATATCTATAGAGTCGAAACATTTAAGGATAATAAGTGTATGGGGCTGTACAGAAATTTTACCGGTAATTTTTCTCTATTTTCTGAAATATACATTTTGCTTTAAATAGATAATCACGAATTAAATAATCTTTTTTCACGAACTCATTCGAGGCTTCCCTTTCATTAAAACAGCTTATATCTAAAATACCAACTCCAAAATATTGCTGTTGTGAACGGACGAAAGAAAGTGTGTCCAGTTTGTCGTTTCTTTTAGTGAAATAATTCTTTCATATCTGTAAGAAGAGCAAAACGTTTTTTCTCTTCTCGACATTGATATCTTGACTTTACCTTCGCTCGTATTTATGCCACGTGTACGAACTTCCCTTGGCTAAAAAAAATTCATGCAGAAGTCTTGCTTGAAAATTTAATTTGGTTTCATTTGCACTACTTGTTATTTCTTCTTTGAGAAAGAATTAGTTAACTTTAAAATGAAAAAAAAAACGAGAACATTCAGCAACGAACTTAATTTAATGTTGGACTCTCAGAATACAAATTAAGCCGAAAGAGGACTTAAATCAAGAAATTTACCTCGCGTCTCAGGGCCCTCTGCCTTTGTAACATCTCAGGGAGTGACTTCAAGACTGTTTTCAGTCTGTGGTTAACCTTCTTGTAGTGAAGCTGAGAAAGATGGATACTATGCAGAGCATTTAATAAGTTCGAATTCGCTTTCATGCGTTCATTACGGTTCGCCAACAGCCACATCTGAATTAGTTATGAAGTTTTGAATGTGGCGCGGAGCAACTTCTTGATTAAAGCAATAATTTCCTGATTGGATGATTTTCCGCACGTGTTTATGTAGCAAGAACGACACAGTTGTTTACCACACGTATCTCGGGGCCTTTGGGACTTGTAACGTTAATTAACTATTCACATAAAGGTGAATTCATTCGCAAACAGCCAGAAAGCTAAAAATATCGAATAAATTCTCTCCATTTAATTTCTAAAAACGTCAACCAGCTACTATGTAGTTTGCTTTGCAGGGCACAACGTACATTTGAGCCGTCTCGATTTCCCAGCAGATAGGGAAAAAAAATCCTGCATCCCGTGTCCAAATTTGGGTGAATCCCGTTTCCCGGGTAGCAGTCAAATCCTGTTAAATTTCCCTCAGCAGATTTAGCGTTTTCCCGAATCCTGTATGGAAAAATTATATATCTGTGCAGTTCTGCAATAAATGAAAAAACGGCGAAGGAGGAGGAAGTAAAGAAGAGAGGGTCTGGGAACGAGGTAGGGACAATGACGTAATGAAACAAGTCATTAGATTTAAATCTTAATATTTCGCCCTTATTTCTCAAGGGGTCTCCGTGGCGCAATCGGTTAGCGCGTTCGGCTGTTAACCGAAAGGTTGGTGGTTCAAGCCCACCCGGGGACGATTTTTTTTTTGTTTTTCTTTTTACATTTCTTTTGTTTTTTAAATTCCAGTGCAAAACTTTCACATTTAATGTTTATGTTACGAAATGTGTTAACAGAATTACAGTAGATTTTTGGGAAACTAAATCGATCAGCACACTAAAGACCCTAAAAACAGTACTTGAGAAGTTTGAAGGCATGTTTTAGCAAAGTGCTTACTTACCTCATGATGGCAATTTTTTTATTAAGGAAAAAAAAAAATTAGTTGGAGGAGAATCTATCTTCATTTTACTCGTTCGTTTCCTTTAACCCAGAATGCCTTACGCGCGGCAACAAGTCTAGCCTCGCTTCGATGCTCAGTGTTGTTGATTGCGCGGGCCGTTCAAAGTTTCGTTGAATGGCGGATAAAGGGACTGTTTGAAAGCTTCACAGTGAAACAGTTCTGAATAACAGCCATTTTCGACATGGGATCACGCTTCAAATCAAAAGGGAATCAAGATTTGTATCAAGTCCGTTTTTCTGTGGTCGTTTGGTTGAAATCTATCGAGTGGTAGGAAGGACAATTGTGATCGAAGATGACGTCTCGCTTCATGGGCAACTCGATTGAGGTAAGACCAGAAAAATGGCTTCTCGGTTTCATATTTCTAGAAGAGGGAATCGAGATGCTGAGAGTGAAGCTTGTCATTTTTCCAAGCTATGCTGGGTGGATTCTTAAACAGTTAAGAATAACGGTGCGTACCGGCATACCGATACATCTAAGCTTCAGCTGAAGCTTACTTTGCGCTCAAAGCGTGACTGCTCACAGCGCAGTGAAATAAGTATTAAGGAACGCATTTGTTCGTTATTCCGAAATATTAGCATATGAACAATAATGTCACGGCTCAGTGTTGAAATTATTTCTTACAATCACCGTATCATAACAAAACTCTTGCGAAGCATCTTAATGGTTGCTTTGTATGTTGCAATGGTTGTTGAATACTTTGATCTTTAATACTAGAAAAATCGCAAAAGTTTTTATGAGTAGTGTATAATGAGAACTTGATTTGTAAGTTTAGGTTTTTGAGAATTACAGTTCTTGGAAAGAGGATATTTTGGATCCATTAGAACTCAGGTTAAACCATAGTCTCCTTTGTTTCCTATAAAAGATAAGGACCGAGGACTAGGAACAAAAGGAAATTCCAACTCAACACGAAGTTGAACGCTGGTTAACGTGAGAACACATTTTATCCAGGGCCAGGTTGTTCAAACGTTGGATAATGCTATCCACCGGATAAATCACTATCGAGTGGATAAGTATTTGGGAAACCAATTGCGATTTTCCATTGATAGAGATTTGAGTGGATAGCGTTCAGGGTTGTCAAAAGTAGCCGGCTGCCGGCGAAAATCGCTGCCTACTTGGTTAGTATTGGCCAGCTACTCTGCTTGGCATTTCTTTACAGATGGTGTTTGTTAAATAGAATATATGTAGACTGGCTGCTTACTTTGACAACTTAGCTGTCTACTTCAAAACTTTCCGACAACCCTGGCAGCATTATCCACCTCTTAAAATCAGCAGCCATCCTGGGTGGCTGGTTCTGGGGAGCCCCCAGGAATTTGGCCTATCCCCCTCACCTGTAAATCCCACCCACCTTTGAGCTACATTATATATTTCTCCACGAAAGCCACCAACAATTTTGTACGGTTTTTTACCTCCATCAAATGGCCTTGAAAGATTTTTTGCATATCTTATTTATTTTTTTGTACACTGTAGCCTACTGAGGCCAACAAGAAAAAAACTGCACATATGACATTGCCATTTTAACAGCTGCATGTGGCAGTACATGTAGTTGCTGCTTTGAAATCCTTCCTTGCCAATACTTTTGCTCTAACTGCCTTTTCGGTATTTGTTGATCAATCCCTTCACGAATTTTTTGAGCCATATTGCCCTCAGTATTCGTACACTTTCAAATGTCTAGTTCCAGAAAATATCCATTCCTGCGCGATAGAAGGGATTTGTTTTTAGAGAGCCACTTCCCCCTGTGAATTCCAATTGTGCTTCATAAATTTTGTTGATCCTTTTAGTCTTTTAGACCTCCTGCTCGCCCAAGAGTTTCCAATCCTTTCTACATGTATATGGGAGAGTAATCAGTATGGAAATTTTCCTGTAGGGTACGCAACAATAATGTAAAATCATCTACTCTTTTTGGTCACTGATTGTATGCTTGGGTAACCTATATGTACATGTAAGATGTATAAGGTTACAGGTTTAAAGTGTTCTTTTCTGTAATCTGAAGGCTACAAACCATTGTTTAGCTTTGTTCTGGACCATATAATTATGTAACTCCTGGCCCCAGTTGTTCAAAAGTTGGATAGTACTATCCACTTGATAAATCGCTATCCAACGGATAGTGTTAGGGCATCTACTTGCACTATCCAGTGGATAGTGATTTATCCGGTGATAGCATTATCCACCTTTTGAACAACTGGGGCCAGTTGTTTGTATTTACATTGTCATTTTGGTTAGGACTTTCAAGTCCTGGAGCTGGTAGGCAAAGGAGGTTTCGCTTGTGTGTACCGCGCCCGCTGCAAAGCCACAGGACAAGAGGTTGCCATCAAAATGGTAAGTCAATCATATCTTAATTAACTCATGCTTTTTATAATTCCTGACGTTGGACTCTCTTGACTCCTTTGTGCTGTTAATTAATTTCAGTGGTAATTAAAAAAGGAAAACTAAAGATAATTCTATCCAATGATTCAGTGATTCTATAATAATAATAACATTATTATTATTTACATTAATAAACATGATGTTAATAATAATAAAAAATTAATAGTGTCATCAAAACTCTGGAGAATATTACTAGCTTTAGTACATGTATTTCTATTTCTAAGTTTTTTTTAGTAAACCTTGTGATTTGAAACAGAGGCATGGTAATCATTTCAAGTAACTCTGGACCCAACGTTTCAATGATTCTATCATGTCATCAAAACTTTAGCCAAAAATTTTAAAAAATAGTTCAAGTACTTTTACCGATGTTTTTTTAGTTAACTTTTTATCATAATGTGACTTAAAATAAGGTCATGTTAATTATGTCCATTGCACTTGGTAAGTGAACCTACATGTACTGTACGTGAATGTTAATTATTTTACACACCACATGTATTTCCTTTTCTTGACACAGATTGACAAGAAAGCTATGAAAACATCAGGAATGGTAGCAAGAGTGAGAAATGAAGTTGAAATTCACTGCCAACTAAAACATCCTGCTATCCTTGAGGTAATTAATAAATGTAATAAAGTTCATGTATCTAAAAATTTTGTTTCTAATAAATGCGTTCCAAAACCAAAATTTTGAGCAACTTACGATGTACAGTGTACATGAGTACCCATGGGACTTAACTAATGTCTGCATTCATTCAACATTCTGTACAGGTTAGTGTCTGTTATGGGAAGACATCTCTGAGACTTGGATGATTGTAACTAAAAAAAAATATGTAAGAGAGGCTGCATGTATTGTAACCCCTCGTTGTGGGAAGTGTACACAACGTAGTGGTTTATAGTGCAGAGGACTTTAATACGTTGAGATGAGGTCCAGGTTTAGGCTTTTGCTACATTGTACATGTAGGGTCATTATTGTGTGGTAATCTTGACACCTTACTGTCGTGGTGCCTCACTGCACAAAGACTATATTTTAGGCACTGAAACTGTTTCCTGTCATGTTTTGCTGTGGATGGTAAGGATAAACATGGATACCTGTATTTAATACTAAAATTCCTGGTGTTATTACAGATAACTAATTATATCTATAGCCCTGGGAAAGTGTAAAAAAGAATGCACTATGCTGTAAACTATTCTGGTACAAGAGTTTGTCCAATGAAAATTAAAATTACCCAACTTCCTGATGGACTCCGTCGAAGTATGTTTGATACATGTATGTATTTCTTCCTCATAACTCTAAAGGAGCATTTTATGTTGAGGTAAAGGCACTACAGTAAGGAATGACTTTAACATGGAATTGACCTAAAAGGTGACATACATACATGTACACTGTACATGTACATGTTGCCCCTTAAACTGACGGTTTTAAAATTAGAAAGCTACACGGGTTGCATTATTTAAATTCAACCAAAAAAACTTTAGGTAATTACCATGAATGCACACTGTCTCTTGGACGAAAATAATGGGCAGTACATGTAACAATAATGGAAAACTTAACTTTCAACTGTGAAATTTTTAGAATTATTGTAGCCTTGAAAGAGTTTACAATTTTATTGTATACAATTGAACTGACACCATTTTGTTATTCTTCAGCTTTACAATTATTTTGAGGATTCAAATTATGTCTACCTGATCCTGGAAATGTGCCACAATTCAGAAATCAACCGCTATCTCAAGAAAACAGGAAGACCAGTTGGTGAAAATGAGGGTACAGACTCATGTTTTCTTTAACCAGTATAATTGAAGAATTGATTGATAATTAATGGCAAAATTTAACTAGAATTAATTTTATGTTTAATCAATGAGCTGGCTGTGAGTCACATCCCAGCTTTCCTCATGCACTTAAATTAATCCTTGCCCTCATGACATGTATCTCTAGAGCTATAAAAATAACTCAAATCAAATAACAAGGAACTCATAAAATGACCATAAGGATGTATTTTTATTTTCATTTCACAAGCGTGATAAAATACAGTACTTACAGCAAATCTACATAAATTTGTGGTATTATGCAGATTGAGGAGGGTGTTATCTGCTGAGAGTGGAATTACAATATTGCTTGCCAATGTAATTATGCCAAATACAGATCTGCCCCCCATAATAATGATAATAATAATAATATTTTACATGTATCTGTCACTCACATATCTTGTCAAAAAATTTCTTGAAGTTTAAATTTGAGTCTCATCTTGTGTTTGTTAATTCTGCCTCTGTCAATTTATCTTGGGCACAATGTACATGTTACTGGTCAAATTTAATTTCAGGTTTTATACTACTACATGAGAAATTTCTGCAATTTGATTGGCTTAGAGCAGTGATATTTCAGCCTAATTTGAAATACCTACATGTGAAAATTACAAACCTTTTGCGGGTAGTAGTATAAACAAATAATAGCATAATATTATTTGTATGTGATATTTATCAAATTTGATATTTGAGTTAAAGATAGGAAATGTATAACAATTTAGAAATATTCTCAAGTTTACTTTAAAATCATCTATTACCTATACAAAGGGTTCAATTTCCTTTGTCTTTTAGGGCTAGGAGACAAAGGAAATTGACAATCAACCTAGGTTAAATCAAGATCAAGCTGAAGTCAAATTTGACCTGTAACATACATAAGAACAGCTGTACACAAGTACTGTTTGTATGTTCAACATGCTAATGTTCATCTCTGATGAACATTTTCGCCCTGAGAAACTTCCCTCACATGCATTCCCTCCAGTTGTTCAAACACTCTCAAGAATTGATGGTTCAAAGGGAAGCCTGGGTAAATGATGATTACGATTTAGATTGATATTTATTTTACCATTATCATCATTTTTATCTTAGTTACTGGGCTGACTTTCCTTCTTTTTGTAGCTCGTCACATCATGACTCAAGTTGTTAAAGGAGTTTTGTATCTTCACTCTCATGGCATTATTCACCGTGATCTAACTCTAGGGAACATTCTACTCACAAAAGAAATGGATGCTGTAAGTTTGTTTTTATTATAAGTTTGAAAGGAAAAGAGATACAAGTTGTACGTAAAAAAAAAAAACAACTTACAATATTGGACTTTTGAAGTCACTTTTGTAACATTGATTATTAATTTTGTCATATGATGGACATTTTCTCCTTTCAAAGTATTTACACTGTTACCCTGTGAACAGAGGCTACATTTTCGCTGTGTGAGCTGTTGTGCGAAAAGTAGCCTCTGCTGGCAACCATTCAAATCCGTCCAAAAATGTGAATGGATAAACTAAAAAAAATGGGGTTTTTTCCTGTTCTTGACTGGTTTAGAGCATTGTGTGAGTCTTGCGTATCAAATCAGAATTGTCGCAATTTTTTTATTCCCGTGAAACTAGCACCATTTGACAACAGACCTGATAATTAATTTTGCTTGTGAATCGCATGATGAATTTTGTGCATGCACGATAGAAAATAGAATGGTTGTTGGCCGAGGCCTACTTTTCACACGCCAGCTCACACAGCGAAAATGTAGCCTCTGCTCGCAGGGTATGACACTGTACAATGTACAGTAAATGTATTGCCAGTAGGGAGGTTAGTTGTTGAGTACAGTTGTATACATGAATGAAAACATACAAACTTGTACTACCTCTACTTTGTCCGTTTGCAGAAAATTGGTGATTTTGGCCTTGCCACAAGGCTTACTATGCCTAATGAGAAGCATTATACCATGTGTGGAACACCTAACTATATTTCTCCGTGAGTAAACACTTTAAGAATCTCCAATTAATGCTTGCATCATTTAAGTTACATGTAAATTTAGCTTGAATTCATCACGACAGCAAAATAATAATTCCAACTCTCCAAATTGCAACTATTTTGGTCACCATGGTGCCTAAAATTTTGGAGCTGGCGACTTGATTTGTAAAAAAGTCTCCCTAAACCAAAAGAGTTGGTTGCCAAATGGCGACCAAAATAGTCGCAACTTGGAGGGTTGGAATTCCCACTCATAAGCAAAAACTTTAACTTGGAGGGTTGAATTCACTGTAATATTGGCACAATGTAAGAGAGCAGGTCCAGTGTTACTGGTTTTTATATACAGGACACCATTTGCACGGTATAGGGTTTTGTTTATTGTTTTTCTCATGATAGTCACTTTGATACATTGATCACAAAGTTTTGACAGCGTACTGCAAGTCTTCATCAGACAATGGTGTTGATTTTTGGGACTATTTTGTACATGTACCAGCGTGATCATTAAGTTATTGGTGCAACATGATCCTGGCTCATGGTTGCTGGGTTTCAGTCCAAAGCATTGTTGGCATTATCAAGGGAGGAAACTGTTCCCTCGGATCAGCGGTCCACTGTTGTAGTGATTGGCTGCTGTGTTGTCTGTGGGTATCCATGCCTCAGGAGCCAGGAGTCTCAGTTCCACTATTTTTCTTTACACCAGCTGATGATTATAAACACCTGTACATCTTGTAATATTTATATTTGTACTGTATCAAACAATCATTGTTTTCCAATTAGTTAGGTGCAACCAAAGCAATTTAGAGTACAAGTACATAAGAGTACTACATGTACAATGTAATTCAGTGGTGTTAGTATGTCTATTTACAATGAAATGGTGATGATTGAAATTAAGGAATAATTTCACACACATTTTCTCCAAATGCTAATAATTTCCCAAACCTTTAAGCAAAAGAAATTGTTATGATTTGGACAAAAACTCCATGTACCATTTGATAATGATTACATTTATCATTTTCATAACATTGTTCATCGAATTGAATGAACCCTAATGAACAATTTCATTTTTATTGATATTGTTGAACAGGTTTTTAAAAAATCTTTTTGCCCAAACATCTTCTTTGATTTCATTACATTTGAAAACTTTTGCCTTGGCATTAATTTATAATTTCACAAGGAAATTTATTATAAATTAATGCTGAAATTTCATGCCAAAATTAAGGAGTAGTTTGTCACCCATGATATTAAAAATGTAATACACTGTCTATTATTCTAAAAGAATATGTTCTTTTTTTTCTTGTAGAGAGATTGCCACGAGAGGTCCTCATGGTCTTGAGTCAGACGTCTGGTCTCTGGGCTGTATGCTTTACACCCTGCTGGTTGGAAAACCTCCTTTTGATGTGAGGAAGAGATTATCCTGTGCATTCTTCCAGTTATTACAACAACAAATAATGTAGTAGGGACAATCTACTACCCTTAAAGGGGCTAAAAACCTTGAAATACCACTGCTTGGTCTTTGGGCAAGTAGTATAATTGCAGTTATTGCATTACTACCTGTAGGGTCTTCAAGCAATTAATTATTAAGACAATCACCTCAAAAAAGGGCTAAAAAAACTTGAATTCTAGCTTGGTCTTTGGGCAAGCAGCTCTCGCATTTTATTTTCTGGGGCCACCTCTTGCTCATTACTGCCTGGACCATTGCTTATTGTGCAAGTCAGCTTTAAAAGTTACTTGTCCATTAACAAAATCTACCTGGCCCGGACCACTGGACGGGACTATTTTTGAGCTCTGCCAAAAAAGCTTCCTACACATGTACATATACATGATTTTTTTTAACAATGTGTAATATACCCAAGTCTTTGTTTTTGCTCTAAGAAAAACTAAGGGGAACCCAGTGCTTGGAAGCTTCATGCACACTGTACATTGTATGATATCCAGGGTGCCCAGCATACAATGTATGAATTTTACTTTTCAGTATTTGTATGACGAAACTACAAATACATTAAAATTTCCTAGTCATCCAAGAGCAAAAATTAAGGCACTGTTGGTCAAGGGGTAAAAAAAGTGAGGTTTACTGAACAGTAATTATTTTAAAGCACAAATGATGGAAGACTGCAGACTGAAGTAATTTGCAGTAATTTTAGTAACCTGAGTCACTTAATACTACCTGTATGCCTGTGGTTAGTTTTTGATTGCCAACTCTACTTGGGAATATTTGGGAGATTGTATCCTGTGTGAGTGTGAACAAAACCAAAGATGTCCACTTGTTAAATTAATATTAATAAAAATATTAAATTGATTTTAAATGGTTTTACTTTAGACTGAGGCAGTAAAGAGTACATTAAACAGGGTAGTGTTGGCTGATTATGATTTACCAAGGTGAGTTTTAACTTAATAATAATAATAATGATAGTAATACTGTGTATAACAAGGTTTACCCAAAAGATGTACATGCACTACTGTTTTTAGTAATTAACCAACAACTGAAAGTATTTATACGGTGAAACCTCTATTAAGCGGACACTAAGCAGAGTCCCGAAATTAACATCTTATATTTCCCTTTATAACGAACTCCAATTCAGCGAACACCTCTATTAAGCGGACACGGGACTGAATTGATAATAGTACATGTAGTATTGGATAACGTCCTTGAAATATGTGCTGTGGTCGATAAATAAAGATAAATCAATACATTTAGCTGTCAATAAACTGTAGATTAGGCTGAAAGTCTCGCACAAAGAACACTACAGCCTCCTAGCTTCCCTAGTAACATGGATCTTCATCACAGTACAGAGTAACTGTTAAAAGTTAATTGTCAACAAACATTGCGCCATTTTTGCAAACCTCTATTAAGCGGACACTTGGGAAGGTTTGCTTAGTAGAGGTTTCACTGTATTATTCTTGAAAGTACAATGTAGAGTTACTCTGACAGGATAAAAAATTACTTGCTTACTGCAGAAGTACGGTACTTACAATGTTATAAGCAGAGATCTTGTTTGTTTGCTTGTTTTTTTTTTTTGTGGTAGTAATCTGTCATCAGAAGCTCAAGATCTCATTGCACAGCTCCTGAAAAAGGTATGTTGTAAGATGAACTACTTAGAGTTGTCTCAATGGATACAATCTAACGGTGGCTTACTTACTTGTGTATCTGTTTTGCTAGGGATAACTCTTTGATGGACAAAATTTAGCTGTTCTTATGCAAAAGAGGTTTACATTTCTGCATTTTGTGTGATTTATACTTGAAAAACTGGAGTATGGTGATGTGGTATGGCCTAAAGCTCAGGCCTCAATAAATAGGGCTATCTGAAGAATGAATCACCATCCAACGATAAGTATTAGGGAAACCAATTGAGTCAGCCAGAGGATAGAGATTTATCTGGTGAACAGTGTTAACTACCTTTTAAACAACTATCTTGGGCGTGGAGATGGGAGCTCTGGCTGTGGAATGTTTGATACAAATAAGAACATCCTTTCTGCCCCCTGCCCCCTTTCCATGTTATCAGACTCTGTAACCTTGGTTACAGCCCTGCTTTGTCAGAGGCTATTCCTCACCAAAAGCAAACCTGTAAACGTTTTGTAAATATTTTACCAAGACGTTGATGATGATGACAGTGATATTGATCAAAGAATTTTTAAATGTCCTTCTGAAACATGCAGGAAATTTGCAAGCTGCTGCACATACCTTCTATACAAATACACATAAATAAATTTGCATAGTTTTTAGATACATGTAAAGTAATAAATATTAAGTGCTGATTAATTTTTTGTGTTATGAACGACATTTTAGAATCCTGGAGACAGAATCACCTTGTCAGGTACATGTACTGATCTATGTACTTAATTCTTAAATTGGTCTTCTCTCGTACCTCACCTATTGGTTATAAGGCAACTGCATGTAGTATAACCTTCATACTTTTAATAGTGATTACCTTTGTGTAAAGTTAAAAAAAGTAATTGATCGGCTATCAGTGACTTAAAGGTACCTTTGGTTTTAGATTACTGTAAATCCTTGATCAGTTACCACGACAATCCCTTGGGTTCTAAGAATGAGCTACATTGATTTTCTCCAAACAATATTGATACGTTATTGAGAGAAGAGGTTATGAGAATCAATGAAAAGATCACAATTCTATCAAATTCTCTCAACTAATTTTAAGAATAAGGAAAATGTATGGTCTGGGGCCTGAAGGGTTAAAACAGGATTAGAGCTATCAGGACTGCAGACCATCCAGTCCCGATTTTTAAGTACATGTACAGTAGAGAAAACGAACAAACAAACAGGGAAGCAAGAAACAATAACCCCCAAAATTTAAAATTCACAAGTTGAGGGGTAAAAAAACCACTACAACAACAACAACTACAAAATAAATCAAAAGCAAAATCAACTGATAATTACCTTACTCCTGTTATAATTGTTGGGTGGAAAAAGCCCTAGCTCAGTCCACGAGGCACACAATATATAGTTCGACGTTGTGGGGAGGTGTTGAGTTCGCCTAAGCGGGTTAAACCTTTTTTCCACGAATATTGGGGGTGGGGGGTAAAATGAGTTCAACTTAGCATTGAGTAACAGTTCGAGTTAACCAAATTAGATTTAGCATTTTTCAACTGTGCACATTGTACTTACAGGGATTTTAGATCATCCATTTATGACTCAGGAAAGGCTGCTGAAGTACTCCTCAACTGACCGGCTATATCCTCCACAGGTATGCCATGCAAAGAGTAAAATACATCGCTCATTAACTTAAAAAACGTAACGTTTGTTTATAAAACTTGCACTAGAATTAAAATTGCAAACACAGCTGAGGAGAATTTGGGTGACAAGGAGGTGCGTGGAGTAAAGTATGTACATTAGAGAGCGAAAAGCATGTGTTTGCATTTTGTACGTCGTGTAAAAATCATCAACAAAGATTAGCTCGGAGTAAGGCGACTGAGAGGCGGTTGAAGACAGGGACTAGTCACTACAGCCAAGTGCAATTATTGCATAACTATGACAACCGTATGAGTGGCATCTGCGCAGGCACCGTCACACTGCTAACCAGTGGAACCTAGCACAATTACTATTATTCTTTCCAAAGGGAGGGAAGGGTAAGAAACAGAACACCTTAAAACTAGGAGCAACGTCAAACGACACGAACATAATGGCCCGACCTCAACAAAGAAGCTGTAAAATTCCCAGAAGACCTTGTGAAGCTACTCGAACTTTCAAAAGGGAGCTTAAACAAAGACGTTTTTGAGCGACGCTCGTCCACCGGAAATGAACATTTTTCATTGTTGGGCAGTGGTTTTGCCCAGATTTTTGGGCAGATCGTCTCTACAATAGAGACCTTTAGATTCGGGGACGAGAACGTCTACGAGTACGAGATTTGACTCAAAGTTCTTTTCGCGCATTCTCTAAAAATAGACACCCCGGAAAGCTTCATTGTACTTTTTTCACCAGAAAAGTAACCAATGTTATCTTTATTGAAGCAGGTTAGGCCCTGTACCGGTCGCAAAACCTCTAACATTTGATAACATGTTTCCGCCACTACTCTCCCTAAAACTCGTATTGGAATAAAGATGACTATCACTTTTTCCAGCCAAAAAGACGCTGGTTCACGCGCAAGCAGTGCTTGAGAAAGTCTCGTACTCGTAGTCGCTCTCGTCTTTACTCTTAGAATCTAAAGGTCTTTAATAGTAGTAAAGACACTTAGCAATACAAATTTTGTAGCGTCAAGGCATATTAGGAAGATGAGGCAGCGACGTTTTTGAGCGACGCAAGTCAACCGGAAGTGAGCCTTTTTTTCTTTTAAATTACCTTGACGCTACCAAATTTGTATTGCGAAGAGTCTCTACCTTTATAGCGACGATTTACCCAAAAATTTGTTTAAAATCAGGGTTTAAGAGTGTAAAAAGCCACTTCCGGTCGACGTGCGTCGCTAAAAAACGTCGCTGCTTAAACTCGCTAGTATGGGGAAAAAGGTCTCATTTCCGGTTGACCACATTTTATGACTGGTGATGATGATGACGATGAATGATTGTAACGTTGATTTACCCTGTTTCTTTAGCGAAATATCAATGAGCGATCACTAGACAGTGGAAATGGCACAATGGCTACAGTCTCTACAGGCCTTAGTCGGCCTTCAAAATCCACTCGTAACAGCAGTGATTATGCAAAATCCATGGGCATGTCTGGGGATAATGACGCCTTCACTAACAGATCAAGTGATCGTCTGTCTGACGCTTGGCCTAGACATGGCCGACACCCACCCTCTCCACCAGTGAGACAGAGAGCAAGGTACTGCAATGTTAATTGCAATTAGAGAGCTTTAGATTCTGAGACGAATACGACTATGATTACGTGATTTTCTCAACACTGAGTATTGCTCACGCGTGAAGCAGCGTAATTTTGGCGGGAAGACGTGATAGCCGTCGTCATAGTACTACGAGTTTTAGCGAGAATGTCGTAGTGGCGGGAGCAAGGTATCAAATGTAAGAAGTTTTATCATTTCGCTATCGGTAGAGGGCTTAACCTCCTTCAGTAAATTTAATCGTCCTAGCTTTTTTGGTGAAAAAAAAGGTAGAATCAAGCTTTCCTGGGTTGTATTTTTTTGAGAACATGCGCAAAAACTTTTAGTTAAATCTCGTACGGTACTCGTTCTCGTCCTCATATCTAAAGCTCTCTCGTAAGATTATGATGACTGGTTTTCACGTTACGTACAAATGTAGTTTATGCAGATATAATATCATGATAGCGGTAAAGACGCTGTAGTAAAGGATGAGTTTCACTATTACTCTGGAATCGTTCGTTGCCGGAGCCGGAATGAGAATTGCAGACTGTTATGAACTGGTGAAATTTTCTGATATATTTGTCACTTGTGATCTAGCTAAAACAAGATTTTCCCAATCGCAAGCGGGAGCGGACGAATAAGCCGATCATAGTGCATGGAAATGGTCACTAATTCGCCATTTCCCGACTCCGACAATTTAATTAGATTACTAGTGACGAAGTCATTGGCAAAATCGGACTCCGATTGAGCTCGGCGTAAAGAAAATGTAAACGTGCTGATTATTGCGACTGTGATTCCGTCGAGCTTAGGACTCCGCTTTTGTCTGTGAGTGTTGATTTTACTACAGCTTTCGTACGACCCCAACTCCTTCGCTAGTGAAAACAAACCTTTAGAAACTGGATAATCCTGATTTCCGCCGCTCTCTCGATTGCCGTCTTTGTTCCTTCCCAAGAAGTTACGGCTGGACGCGTGACGGAAACGTTGACCTTGTCTACAATTAATACATTATTCTGAAATTGCTGAGTGCATCAGGGTTCTATGTAGGATTTTTGAGGGGTAGAAGCTTCCCCCTCAAAATGCCCAGCTTCCTCCCTCAATATATTGTTATCATTACGGTATATAAGTATTAAAACTATATCGGAAAAATCATCCAGACGCGACGAGGTCAGTGCACATGAAGTATTCCCTGTCTAAGGTCACTATATGACAAGGAACATGAAGTATTGTAACATTGTCAGATCGTGATCACAACTAAAAAATAAAACAAAATACCACAGTAACATTTCTCAACATTGTGTCTCAAAATGCACCATATTGCATCTCAGCACATTTTCATCTGAAAAAATTTCGGGAGGGGAGCGTGTCCTCTGACCCCCTAGGAAGCTCGTAGCCTTCGGACACTCGGGACTTCTCTCCCCCAAACGAAAAATCCTAGATAGAACCCTGTGCATCGATTGTCATTTTTCTTTTGTTTGATTTCCATTACAGTCACACTGAAAGTCATAGCACATCTGATCAGAAAACAGGTTCTTACACAAAAGACCAAATGCGTGGAACAGACGTGGCTCCCCCGCCCTCGTTAGGCTACAAGACTGCAGAGTCCGCGTCCTGGCTCTCCAGTATAACAACCTCGACATTTGGAAACAAGCAACCAAAAGACAAGGAAACCGCACCCAACACTGGAAACAGCCTGATCGCGAAATTCAGGTTAACAAATAGTTGTTGCTTATTATGCATTTATGATTGCTAGCCTGCAAAGGACGGCGGAACGAAGGGAACTTCCCTTCTTTTCAGTCGTCAGTTCGCCTTGTCACGTGCGATCTCTTGAAGCGCCTCTTTGACGGGCGCATTCTTAGCCGTTTTGCATGCTGTGGAAAAACGAAAAAGAACACCACCACCAACAACAAACAAACGAACAAAGAAAACAATGTTCTTTTTGGGGCTTGCTTGGCTTGCTTGCGATATTATTCAGTAGATGTAGTTCAAAACCTCAGGTCTCATCTTAATACTAGAATGTAAGACGAAAATATCCGTGCGCTCAAGAAAATGCCGCATTATTTAAACAAGGTTCTTGCTACTCCTGGAACTTTAAACTTGTTTGGGGGGAGGGGGGAGTGGGGCCTTTAAAGACGTTTTAAGAACTACCTTGGTTTTTCTTCCTCCCGGAAAAGTCCTATTTTCCGAGATGAATGTATCCTAGCAGGTGACAGAGGACCAGCATCTGCGGAATCTTTGTGCTATTTACTATACCTTGATGCATCAGTTTTCACAATTTAAGATGTTTTTAAATGGTGTCACATAGTGGGTATAGGGGAATATTTGTTCACATTTTTTTCTCATTAACATGTGCTCATCATTATCTGATGAAGCTAATAAAATAAAACCTCTGAATATTGAAAGAGAATGACAATTTCAGTTGTCTCTGAAAATTTGATCCCGATTTAGCGAACGATTTCCGAGAAATTCTCTTTTAAAAACTCGAAATTTTACAATGAGAAGGTATGAATCAGTAACTTTTTTGCCACCCAGCAATTTCGCAGTTCTTGATGGCTGATAATTATTTCCTACAATATTGCTTGCAAAGAGCTGAAAAGTTGCACAAATTGCTCAAGTTAATCAGCTCTTTCAACTTTTGAATTTAGTTCGTATATACGGCCGTGACTGTGAGTTAAAATGTACGCTAATGACAAAAAATGTAAACAATGACGTTAGCAAAGATTCGCCTATTGGATAGATGTTGCTTGACGGGGAGCGGGGGACGGGGAACGAGTACGGGGACCCTGAAAGTGAAAAATGGGAATAAAAAAAGAAAATTGGAAATGAAATTACTGATAGGGCTTACCGGCCAGGGTTCAAGGTAGGACACCTATGATACTGAGATGATGCTTTACCCATCTTGTTTTCCCATCTTGTTTGTTGTTATTTCTTTTCAGGAATTACAATGCCAGCAAATACAGCAGCTCGTGTGGTAACACACTTGGAGACTTCCTCAAGAATGCAACTAATGGTGTTAACACCAGCAGTAGTGGATTCAGTAGCACAGAGCCAAACATGAATCGACAAGAACAGCATCACCGACCGGGTGATCTCCATAATGGTACTGGTTACCAACAGATACCGAGTAATGTCAGTAGGTCAGATTGTGAAGAAACAGCAGAAAGGAGTGATTATCGACAACATCGGCGACGTGGTAGTGACAGTGTCACGAAAGACTCCGGTCTAGACTTCTCTCATATTCAGGAAACGGGCATGCATGAAAAGCATTCTAGCGCTGAACAGGCGAAGAGAAATAGTAGAAGCAAATCCGATTCGTCCAGATCTAAATCACTGGGAGACATTGTAGAACCCCTGAATTCCGAAAGGCTCAGACCAATAAGACAGAAGACCAGAAATGCTGTGGTTAGCATTCTAGACGACGGAGAAGTTGCTTTGGAGTTCTTTCATCGCAAGAATGGTGAAGACAAAGTTTTCGAGGTGCTGAGAATTTCACAGAATGGGATGAAGATAACTGTATACCAGCCTAACGGAAAGGCAGGGGTCCCTCTATCATCACAACCCCCTCCACCCTCGGGGTGTGACTCCACATGTAGCTATCTGTTCTCCAACTTGCCCTCTAAGTACTGGAAAAAGTACCAGTATGCTACGAGGTTTGTTCATCTTGTACGCAAGAAAACACCGAAGGTAAACATTATTGTTAGTCCCTTTTTTCGCAGACATAAAATTCAGCACGCTCGGCAGTTTTTTTCAGTCCACTGAATGCTTGATATTTACCTTGCAGGTCACAATGTATTCGAAGCATGCAAAATGCATGCTTATGGAAAATTTTCCAAATGCTGATTTTGAAGTGTGCTTTTATAATGGTAGGTGCCAGACAGAGTGTTACTTATGTCAAGGTATAGTGGCCAGAAAAAATATCGGCCATTTTGACTAAGGCTGTACGTACCTTTTGTGGGACCGGGTCGGTTTTGTGGCGTATTGCACCATAGGACTGTTTTAAATGACAAATTTTGAGCCCGTCTCCTGTGCAACCTCGTGACAGCCAATAAGAGGCTAGGACATATCCAAAATCTCCCATAGTGTAAGTCGACATAACACTGACCAAGTCTCCCCCTCAACCCTAAAAATGGCCAGTACCCTAGGACTTATTTTAACGTTTTACTTGGCAGTCACACAATGCTATTTTGTTATTCCCCGAGGCAAAGGGCTCAGTGTAACTGAACCACTCACTCACTCACTAACCCAACCTCTTCATCCCCGCTGGACATAGGGCGGCTGTTCGCAATCAAACGTTGCCACCGCAACTCAACCCTGCCATGTTAGACCCAACTCCTCCAGCTCTCACATCAATGTTTTCCGCCAATGTATTTGAAACATTTGCTATTAAACACTTATCGACTGGTTCCGAGGGAAACAGTTAATTTTGTCCGCCTCGGGAAACATTGAGATTCGAGGGAAACAAAATTAACTGTTTCCCTAGGGGCAAGTCTTTAAGTGATTTGTTATATAGCGGGAAATTTGAAAGCTGGAAATTCATTAAACCTCGCTGTAACGGCGGTTGTCGGTCAACATTCGCGGGTAACAGTGCACTGTTACTCTGTGACGTCATAGAGTTTGCAATGTTGCCCACTCAGAGATTTTGGCGGGAAACAGTTTCATTGTTAGATGTCATGTGACCTCGAAGTAACCATTGAGAGAACGCGCTGTTGGGAAAAAATTTCCAGCTGTATAGCAATTATTAATATTTTCTACAGGGGCTAAAGTGCACCAGTCACAGGAGTGCACGCGGATAATCGAGCCAGGCGGAGTATCATACACGTTGGAATCAGTAGGAGGACTGGATGGTGTGACTCAGGATATGAAACCGTTGTTAGAGCATGCTCAGAATTGCTATCAGCAGTGTGTGCATCTAGAGAGAGTCATAAATAAGGAAGAAAGTGAGAGTAGCGGAGGACAGTACTTTCCATTCATTGTGTGCCGCAAACCACCTGTGTCGAGAAATAAGTCTCTGAAAGGAAACGATGGACTTACCGAAGCACACAATCCTAGGTACGTAAATATGTTTTGTGATTTTTGTTCCTTCTTCAATAGGCCGTGTAGATTCTCTTCCCTTTAAACACTTGTGAAGGCATTAATTTTAACGTTAATGAAAATCTTGCTCCACTCCCTCTCCCCATACTTCCACCAAAATTGTTTCATAATCCAACGTTTTTGCAAAAAATGTCGCTTCCAAAACGAGTAAGTTAATGTTCTCCAAACGATCGTGAGGCTTAGTTAATGCTTAACAAAAGGAAACAAACTGGAGTAAAGATTCGAAATTATTTTGTCGGGTGGAGAGAATGCGACAGGTAAAAGTCCAGGGCCTAGGGGGCAATCTTGCCTACTGCGCGTGCTCGAGCGTCGAAAGCTGTAATCTGACCTCGTAATGTAACACCAGGAATAAAGGTTAAGGACTGTGACTATTGACTACGATTTCTTGTTGCCGGGTATATGCAATTAGTAGGCGGGGAATTGATATTCTAGGAAGTTTTTGTTTCTACTTCTCATTTGTTGCTTATGAAAGTATCCGAGGTCATGTTCATAGTGGCCGGAAGGAATCCCCGGCCCTTTGTGACAGCCTCGCAGTATTTATGTGTAAGGAGCAAAGCTTGAAGTGGCGGCGAGGGTGATGGTGAGGTTGTCCCCTCACTCAGGGTGTCACAGCGAAGGCAGCCTTGCCGAGCGTTAAGAGCGCTGGACTTGTAATTCCGAGGCCCCGAGTTCAAGTCCCGCCCTGACCGCTAGCTGGATTTGTTCTCGGTAGTCCCGAGTTCAAATACCCGGCCAAGTCTGTAAAGGCCAACTGGCTCGCCTCCTACCAGTTGGGATTTTTAACCATGTTATGTTTCATTTAAATTATCTGTTTCACGAGGGGGATGTAAGCTACTGACAGGGTTCGTACAGAGTCTTGAATTCTTGAAATTTGCCCAGCAATTTTCCAGGCCGGAGAAAGTCTCCAAACTAGAGATAGAGTCTTGAAAAAATGGTAAAAAGCCTTGAGTTCTTTTAAAAGCTACAACAAGTGCTTTACAAGTGAATTTTTTTTTCGTGTTGGTCAAATCTTATTCAATTTCGACAGTACGTTTGCAGCGCATGATCATGGAAAACGTTTTGTTCCGGCGTTTTTTTAAGGTCTCTATTGATCACCTATTTGATAACCTTGAGTCTGGAAAAAGATGAAAAGCCTTGAAAAATTGTTTTGGAAAAAGGCTGGAAAAAGTGTTGAATTTTGGATTCAAAAATCTGTGCGAACCATGTACTGGGTTACCAGTAATGCTAACGTATAAAAAGCCTTAATCCTTTTCCTTTTGTTTTTCTTAATCTCTTCATGAGTAATTGAAAGGTGGCAAGTCCACTTTTTTTACTACGAATGTTGCCAGCAAGGCTTTCTAACCTAAGCTCTTACTTTGCTGTTTCATCAGACCCCCTGACTCCATGGGCAACATAACAGTTACTGCTACGTCGCCTAGCACCGTAGCCCCAGTCAGTACCTCTCTACTGTCATTCGATGGCACTGTAGCAAGTGTGTTCCACAATACAAGGCCATCTGCAGCATGCAATGATCACAAGCTAGGGAGACGATCACAGTCTTGTGGTGATGAGTCATCTGAGAAGGTTGCTAGATCACCATCTGAGAAAGGGAGAATTCAACAGAGCCAGCTAACGAGCAAGGAAGCTACAAAGCTGGGGTCAATCTCGTCATCATCGTCTCACGTTGTAAAGAGCGTTTTTGTCCAAGGTGTTGGGTGGGCTTCCCAGGTGAGCTCAAATAGGAACATCAGAGAGCTTTATATTCAAGGACGAGAACGACTTCGAGTACGAGATTTGACTTCAAGTTTTTTCGCGTGTTCTCAAAATATAGACTCCCCGGAAAGCTTCATTTTACCATTTTTCACTAGAAAAGTTAGCACTGTTAACTCTAGTGAAGGAGGTTACACCCTCTCCTGATCGCAAAATGATAAAACTTCTAACATTTGATAACTTGTTTCTGCTACTTCGACATTCCCGTAAGACTGGTAATAATAATAATAATAATAATAATAATAATAATAATAATAATAATAATAATAATAATAATAATAATAATAATAATAATAATAATAATAGACACCTATATCGCGCGCTATCCACTAATTGCTCAAAGCGCTGTACAATAATATGGTAAGAAACTGTAGTTAAAAACTATTATTAGATAAAATAAAAATTAAATAACGCTGCTAAAATCAAACATCGTAGGCTAATTAAATGAGTATGTCTTCAACTGCGTCCTGGACTGGTCGACAGATGTAACACTCCTGAGTTCAGGGGGCAATTGGTTCCATAATCTAGGAGCAGCTGCGGAAAAAGCCCTATCACCATACGTAGTCACTCGTAGTAGAGTGACGACGGCTACCACGTTTTCGCGCCAAAATGACGCTGGTTCACGCGCGAGCACTACTTAGTACTGAGAAAATCTCGTACTCGTAGTCGTACTCGTCTTAGAATCTAAAGGTCTCTATTAGAACAGCCCCAGGAGTGACCAAAATCAATTTTCTCCTAACGATATCAATGCATTTTTCAGAAAAAAGGTTATAAGAATCAATAAAATGATCACCAAAGAGAAATATTTTCGATCTTTCATCATTCTCTCAACTATGTAATTCTTTAAGGAAATGTATGAGGATCACTCCGGAGAATTTGTTTGTGGATATTGCGGCTTAAATGATTTATGTTTTTATTTTTTTAGATGAAATTAAGTGTAGTTTTTCTAAAGCAAATGAAAATCCTGACGACATATAATTTTTTTTTTATTAACTGGTAGTTGTCCACTGGAGAGGTATGGATCCAGTACAATGATGGATCTCAGATGGTTGTTCAGTCCTCTGTTACAAGTATCAAATATACAGACAGCGGTGGCACAGTAACTAGGTAATTGCAACTAACAGTTATAGATTTGCCTTGTAAAACCTACTATCATTAGAGTGTTCACATGCAGACCCCAATTTTTGCGTTAGACCGACGTCAAGATCGAGCGACTTTATCCTGGTGAAGAGTCTCAAATCTACCTAGGCAAGGTGGAGGGTGAGGAGGAGGGGGGGAGGGGGGTTAGGAGGAGGTGCGCCCTATTAAGCGGGGTGCCCGCTCCGCTCGGTACGTTTTAAATGAAGATGACGATCTTACGGGAAAAATAGGCGATTGTGGTCAGTGTGAAGGAATATGGAGACCCCAATTTTTCCGTTAGACCGACGTCAAGATCGAGCGACTTTATCCTGGTGAAGAGTCTCAAATCTACCTAGGCAAGGTGGGGGGTGAGGAGGGGGGGGTTAGGAGGAGGTGCGCCCTATTAAGCGGGGTGCCCGCTCCGCTCGGTACGTTTGAAGATGACGATCTTACGGGAAAAATAGGCGATTGTGGTCAGTGTGAAGGAATATGGATAATGAGGATGACAACAACGACAGTGATGATTATGATAATGATGGGGTTGACGTGTGTAAGGTTTTCCTTGCACTCTAAAATATTCTCAGTGCACCAACAATGTGAAACAAATGAAATCCTGTACTTAAAGAAGTATCGCATTTTCTTGAAGAAAAAAGGTTTCGAAGATTTGCTGCCACGCCAAAACATAGACTGAAGGAGAAAGACGTTGCCCATGAGGCACCTAACTGACAGACGGAGCTTGTAGAAGTGAACATTTTGGCAGGTTTGTGGTGCTGTTAAGTCTAATATATCTCTTCTTTTCATGGTCAGATTCAGTCACTCTGACAGATTGCCGCAGCCAATCAAGGACAAGCTGTCTCACCTGCCGGTTGTTATAGAAAATTTAGTAGCCTCACCTAAAGTGTGTTAGTCAAAGGAGAAGATAAGATAGTCAATGTCTATTATTATGATAAGTATAATAATATTTTTATAATAGTATAAAGTACACCATGGAATGCCTGAGGCGGATTTAAACTATTTCGATATTAGTTGAATGGTTAGATTAGCAAAATAATTAATAGGCTGATTTAGCAACAGAACGGGAATGTCAGTTGACGCGCGCAAATCAAACAACTCGCTTGACCAGTGGCAGAGTGGCAAACTGGGCACCGGAAGTCGAGTTTAGTCCTTTCCGCGCGCTTTCCCGTCGTCAAATGACGTTCCAATTCTGTTGCTAAATCAGCCTAATGTTGAGAAACATGTTGACGTGCGTCGCTCAAAAAAACGCCTTTGCTTAAGCTCCCTAGCACCAACTGGTGACTGTGTCAGTGTGTTTATATCCAATAGAGAGGAGAAGTGTGACGTCACGTTACCATGGTACCAAAATTTCTGGATCGCAACAATAGGGGACTTTAGCAACGACGACGGCGACGGCAACGAAAACGGCAAAAAAGTAATAGATTTATATTAGCAAAACAACTTTGCACGTGCATCACGCTTTTTTGTACATTTCTTAGCGGTCGTTACCCGACTGCGACGTGAAACTTCCTAATTTCACGCGCCCACTTTTTGGAGTAGGTGAACAAAACACAAAAGCTTTCTTCTTCTTTTCAGTAAACTTAGATGCCGTCCTTTCGGATTCAACCCCAGAAAATTTCGCCAACTTTTGGCAAATTAAATAAAATTGAATAAGATCGATGAAGTTTGAAATTATGTGGATTCACTTTTTAAGTGACATTTTGGGTTTGTTGTCATCCAAAAATTTTGCTACCATGGCAACGCGAGGTAAAGATTTCTCTCTATTATACACTTTTTAATGCCAATTTTAAATTTTCAATGTGATTATCTTTATAATTTCTGAGTTGATGCATTTAATTTATTTGCTTCAGACGACTCAGAGTTTTCCGCTGAGACTGACTTTGAACAATAGTCCAGTTTCGTGTTCGCTATGACAGCTGAATTACAGGAGTGCTTAGCCTCCATCTGAAGTACTATATTCACAAATTCCAACGAGAAAAAGATCTGTTTATTACTCTGTCTATTGTGTATATTCAGATTTCAAACACTTACTTGCCGGAATCTCTGAATATTTTACTTTATGTCGAGACTAACCCTGTATGAATTTGTCAATAATGTTTGTATTCAGCGGTAACTTTTAACTTGAAACTGGACAATTTTAGGCTCGAGCCTCTTCTTTCGCAACCAGATTGTTACATGTTATTTGTCCTTGTGTCCAATGGCGCCCCTGTAACGTGGTCACAACATTGCCGGAACGGTTGATGCTGTGACCATTAAAAAACCCTTCTCAACACTGTCTTCCGGCGTTGTGACGTGCTGGAAAAGTTTAAATTCGTTGAAACCTTGTCCTAACATTGTCTCAACATTTCTAGCCTGCGAATACAGCCGTTTCTTCTCGCGCCTGTGCCGCTAGGGACCTTTCGTGGGAAAGACGTTACTCTCTCGAAAGGTCCCTAGCGGCAAGGAGCGAAACGATACGATTCTCTACAAGACGAGATAAAAACGGCTGCGTGGAAGACTGTATTCGCGTACTACTACATTTCATTTGTTCTTGAAATGCAGGATCCGTTCAATGCCCATTCTCGTCCCCCGGCAGAGCTGCGATCCTTGTTGCTGGTCAAATTTAAGAATCGCGGCTATGGAGACGAGAATGTTTTTACCCACTCTCTCTTTTAAACGTGCAAGCGCAGTGAATCCACTTTCCCCTCTCTGTCAATATTCATCCCCCCCTCTTAAGAGGGCCTCGTTCGACAAAAACGTCACCAAACTTTCTTTCACCACAGCCCTTTGCCATTTACCGCCTTTCATAACCATTTTTTTCCCTAATGTGATCAAATGAAGTGGATCTACTGATATCACCTTATTGTTTTATTATATAGATATTTAAGAAGTGGTATTCAATTTTACTTTTATATTACTGTCAGTATTCGCTTACAATAGTGCTGTAAATAACATCACAATTTAATGTTTTAGTTTTACATTATTATTTTATTTTTAGGATTACTATAGATGCTGTCAGCACATGTAGAGACAGACATGTTGTAATATACTTGAAATACAATAAATGAGTTTCACTATAACTTGGTAACTTTATATTGTCAACATTTGCCTTATAAATAAACAGACGCCACTTGGCGAAGGTGTCAACAAATTTTTGACTTGAGGTTTTCGGAGATGGAATCCTTTACTTGTCCGAAATATCGCGAAATCTCAAGTCGCCTTCGTTCTTTGTTATTATAGATGATTCGTCTTGTTTACAATTTGATTATTTGAATGCCGTAATAAGTTTTAAAATATGAATGAAAAGGACAGGGATTTTTGATCCCTTTTGATAGCACTGCATACTGTAACATGCCAATTAATTATAGACCTTGGGCTTACAATTTGAATTTAACTCGAAAATAAACAAGAAATTCTACAATTTAAACACTCTTTAAAACTACTATGGTATAATATGAATAATGATAATAATAATAATAATAATAGTAAATAATAACTATAATAAAAATGAATTTTAATAATGTATTTTACGGTATGACTTTTGAGAATTGATCATTGTTTACCCATACAGAATCTCATAAATAGGTTTGCCATTAACCTTGTTTTTTATTCTATAATCATTGCGCTTTATCTCAAAAATAGTTTCTTGTTTAAGTTGAAAAGTTTACATTTATAATTTGTATTGTATTCCATGGTCAGTCCGATCACTGGATAGCTGTCATCAGCGTCCTTTTTCTTCACGCCGCCTTCCCTTTTTCCATTGGGTTATCAGCTATTGTTCCATATTCTTGAAGCCGCGAGTTCTTGCAGCACGGCCATGTATCCTCCTTGTCTCACGTTTAAGATATTAGAGGTAAAAAAGACAAAATTAGGTGAAATATCAAATCAAACAGCCCAGTCCCTGGGCGTTCTCTTTTGCCCCGTTGTTTGCGCGAAGTCTGGGAAAGAGCGGGCGAAAGATATCGGGCGCGTCTCTCTCGGTGACGTCACAGCTCACTGCAGAGTCCAGGATTCGACCTTACAGAGAACCCCCAGGGACTAGGCTGCAAGTCAATATCACTGTCTGCAAGGCAAGGGAATCCTATATGCGTTTTTAGGCGGCTTTCTTAGCTGACATCAGTTGGAAATAAATGTCCCAGTCGCAATGCAGTGTTTTGTTCTAGAATATTTCCTTTCCCGGAATGGTGCCAGTAACGCAGTCGACCTTCTGTAATCAATGATGCTTTCACCAACAGAACTGCAAAAACAACAATTAACCGGCTCCTCATTTTCCAAGATAAGGAAAACTGACTCCAACAGTAGCTTACTCTAGATCGCTACGAAGACGAAGCTTTATTTGTAAAGAGTCGAACGTGTACGCCTTTATATGTGATTTTCTCCCGTGACCATTACGCATGTGACAGGAATAAAGCTTTCGTGCTTAAAAACTTACTGTCCGTATATTACCATATTTAAGGTTTAATGGTGTGATGAAATATAATCCAATAATGCGTTATTGTCATAGCAGGGAAAGTGATTAATCACACTTTCTCCAGTGATTGAAAAACAAGTTTAACTCAAAATTTGAGTGGTATAACCGCAGGACGAAATAACAATTATTTTTCCAAGCACTCAACAACTACTATGGCTTTGGCTTGCTGGCTCCTTTCAAAGTCAACGCCGTCAAAAAGGGTGTAGGTGAAAAATGGTACGGTACGGTACGGTATTGTTGATTGTAGTTAAATAAACTGGTTTAAATCTCCTTTAAAGTGCTCATTTGATCCATTAGTCAGTGCTGGGTCGATCATAATGCATGCCTTCCTGTTAGGATCCCTGAGTCCTGACAACATGACTAAGCTGAAATTTATGACTCCAACATGAACAATAGACAAAGTGTTTTTCAACCATAAAATTTCGTTTTTTTATAATTTATTTTCAATCAACCAGTGGTCATTTGGCTCTTTTTAAAAGTGAAAAAGTCTTCCTTTTTAGTTTATGATGCATTTATTAAAGGTTTAAAGATCGTCATTAACTAAACTATTGCCTTTTTTCTCATAAACCGAACACTGCTCTGTTCCATCACAGTTTAATTGACCGAACATACATAAATTAACTCTGATGGCCTAGAACTGCCATTAGGAAATTTCTTGATAATTCAGGCAGGAAAATTCAACCCTGGTACGCGTTTAATTTCGAAGTGACTGAATCTTAATTATTCATATTTTAAATGGCAGCAGTTAAAAGGGGTGCAGACTTCTAAACTAGGTATCAGAAAGGGGTACCATTTGTCAATAGAAGGTATACGAAGGGGGTAAGTTTATGTCCAAAATGGTATAAAAAAGGGTAAGGGGTTGGACCTCGAGACGAGGCTTCTCCTAGCCTAACCTCGGGGGCCGAGTAGGAGAGGACCGTGGGAACGAGGTTGATCGTATAGTCCGTCTTCGAATTAGTAAGCTCATCTGATATCCAGCAGAGTCGCAAGGATATATGCGAGCGTTTCTGATAGGCAGATTTCTTACGGGTTTGTTATGCGCCTAACGATTGGCCCAATTCTTACGTGTGCGTGACGGTTGGGCGCAGTGACATGTCAAAATTCACAGCGGGAAGTTTGCAAGGAGCGTTTACAGTAAACAATGAAAGAACAGTTTTAACTTGAAAGCCTTCTTCTTAACATAAAAAATACTTTGTGGGAATTCCTTCAAGGCCAAAATGTGTTTGTAAATTTGCCGACTGGTTTTCCAGCGTCTTCCAATCACTGTCGGGTATTGTGCAATTTAGCCCACAGTTCTAGCGTCAAAACAAGTCAGAAAAGCATGATATTCACGGGTAAAAAAAAAAACTACACACATGTAGCTATTCAGATCCGGGCATTTCGGAGGAAACGAAAGAAACTAATGTTATTTAGCTGGAATAAAAAGGTTAAGCCACTTTAACAGAGGTAAAAGAAAACCATTTAATGTATCGTTGATGAAATCCTGTCAGTGATCTGCAGAAACATAAACCACAGGAACTAATTACTCAATATGCATGGAACAGACCAGCTTTATAATCGCTCAATG